ATAAAAGAAGGAAATAAGAGGGAGAGCATGGACAAACCAATTCTAGTTTGTCCATGGTAGGTTCGGGAGAAGTGAGAAAGCAAGAATTTAAAAAAAGGAAGAGAGAGAGAGAAAGGATTCGGCAAAGAGGAAGAAAAAAAAAGAAAGGGAGAGGAAGAGAGAAAATGATGAACCATTACTGGTTCGTCCATGGTGAGAGAGAGATTTGGAAGATGAGGAAGAAGAAGAAAAAGAAAAAAAAAGGAAAGAAAAAGGAAAAGAGAGAGAACAGTTGGAGAAGGAGAGAAAGAAAAGAAAAAGGGTTTGGATTCAAGATTTATTTTAAAGAGTTAGGTTGTGTTTTTGGGCTTGGATTTAATAAAATAACGTAAGCCCAACCCATGTATGATTGGGATGGACTAAAATAGTCCAAAAAAAAAAAGAGAAAAATTTTGAGTTGGACCGAACACAAAAAAAATATTGTGTCTTAATTTTAATTTTTAATTTTATGCATGTTTGTTATTTCATAATTAATTTAGATTTTAAATTGTCTTTAATTATTTTAATTAATGTAATTTTAATCTTCAATTTATTTTATGCATGTTTATCAATTTTATATTCAAAATTTTAATATTTTTAATATTTTGTAATTATTTTAATTAATTTAACTTTAATCTTCAATTTATTTTATGCATGTTTGTTATTAATTTTGATTTCAATATTTGAATTTTCTTTAATATAACTTTAATTAATTTATTTAGTAATTAGACTTGGTAATTAAAAGGTGAAAGATTGTCAAGTCTTATAATTTTTTAGGGACTAATAACGACCTTCCACCAAATAAAAAAATGAGAGAAAAAAATAGAAAAGAAAAAAAATTAAAAAAATCATAAAATGTTTAACAAAGTCTCCTATTTGATAGGGACTATTGTTAGCCAAAATAAATCAGTTTTAAAATTTTTTTATGCATTTGTAAAGTTTTCCTATGTTGTTTTTGATCCCTCATTTTCTTAACAATTTTTATTTCGATTTGTAACTTTATTTGTATCATAATCTAGTTACTAATTGCTAAGAGGAGAGAGAAACGTAGAGAGATGAGAGAGGAGAGAGAAATCTATGTATGAAATTTTTAATATTTTTTGGAATATTGTTATTTGCTCTTTAAGAAAAATTTAATATAATTTATATGATGTTTTTTATTCTTAAATGATAATAGCATTGTTATATATATGAATCTTTAGAATATGATTATTTTCTTTTAATTTTTATATAATTTATAAAATGAATTCTTTGAATTTTTAAATTATAGAAGAATGATTATATATATATATATATATATATATATATATATATATATATATATATATATATATATATATATATATGTAATTTAATCTAAAGATTAAAAGTATTTTTTAGATAAGTTGTCTTAGATTTTTTGGAAAAAAATTATAAGAAAATTTTTTAATTAAAAGTCCATGAATTTTATAATTTTTATTACAAGTTATTAGTTAAGAATTTGGATATAAAAGAATAAATTGCATTCTTTTTGACAAAAAATTTATAAAAAACATAATAAATATTTTGTTAAACACATAATTAAAAAAAATAGTTTTATTTTTACCTTCTATTTAATATATTTTAGTAACCAACAAAATAATACATACCATCAAATTAAAATTATTATTTAAAATAAAATTTTATAAGTTTTATTCGAACTCACGAGTGTAATACGGGTAAAGAACTAGTTTACTATACAACTAAAACAATTGGGGTTTTTGAGCATTGAAAATCTCTCGTTTACCCCTGATAAATCACTATTCACTATTAAAGCTTAGGTTTTTTCTTTTCTTTTTCTTTCTTTTTTTTTATCGTTTTCAAGTTATTTCATTTTGGTCTCTAAAATTTTAAAATAAAAATTATAATCCTCTAATTGATGCACTACGCATGTCTTTTCTTTTCTTTTTTTCCCTTTGGTTTTTTCCTTTACTTTTTTTCATCAATTTGTGTTCTTTTTTTTTCTTTAATTGGGTGTTAAAATTTTGAAAAATAAAAATTTTCTTTACTTTTTCCCATCAATTTATATATTTTTTTATTTAATTAGGTGTTAAAATTTTAAAAAATCAATACTAACTTTTGTTACATAAACCGATGATTATACAATATATCTTTTGATATTTTAAAATTAGCATATACTTCAGACTTATATTATTCTTATTATTTGAATTTATTAATTTTTATGAAAATTCTCATCCAATTAATATTTTTATATAAAATTTTATTTACTCGGTAAGTATAATTTATTTTTCTCTATATTTGAATTTTAGAATAAAATTTTAAAACATGATTTTTTTAAAATAAATAAATTGTTATAATATATATCATGAATTCTTAGAATTTTTAAGTGATAGTTGCATATATATAAATATATAATAATTTTATTCTAAAAGTTTAAAAGTGCATTTCAAATAATTTATCTCGAGTTCATTAGGTATGTTCAAAACGTATAAAAAGAACTATTGAATCATTGATTTTATTAAAAATTAACTATACATCTTCCAACTGAATACAAATTAGTTACTAAGAAAAGTTTTTTAACATTATAGAACCAATTAATTTGAAATAAAATAATTAAAATAATTTGTTAAGGGAACCAATCAATTATTTAAAAATTATTTTTTATACTAATTTTATTGATTATTTTGTCAATAAATATATATAAATCAAATGCATATGCTTGAAGGAAAAAAAAAAACTTCTCACCAACATTAAATAAGAATAAAATTTTATCTTTTCATTGGTTAATTTTTATGCAAGTCTATACATTAATTGTAACTTTATTTTTTTGATACATTCTTAAAAAAATATATAATTTTAAAGTATTTTCTTTTGAATTCTTAATTAATATTTCATGTTTAAATTATTACAAGTTTTTATTTAAGAATCTCCGAATGAAGAAGAATAAATCATGTTTTTTTTAAATAGAAATTTTATGAAAAATGCACAACAAATAGTAATGATTAAATACAAAAATTAATGAAAAATTATAACATTTTGAATTGATTTTGTTCTATTTACTTGTATTGTTGCGCGGATAATTTCAAAAATTAATATTCTCATTAGTATTAAATAAGAATTTTTTTTTCATTTGTTAGTTTTTGTAAAAGTTTGTCCATTAATTATAACTTTATTTTTTGAAAGACAATATTATGAAAATTATATTTTTAAATTTTTTTAATTCTTGATTAATATTTTAGTTAAAATTATTAAAATTTTTAATTTTAAAATCAATACATAAAGGAAAATGATTTATGTTTCTTTTTAAGCATAAAATTTCTAAAAAACATTATAAAAAATTAACTAAATAAAAAATTATAATTAAAAAATATTAAAATTTTAAAATAATTTTGTTTTATCGAATCCACGTTGTGTTGAGAGCAACCGGCTAGTAACTTCTATTTCACATTCACTCTTGCATTAACAATCATTTTTAAAAAAATATTTTGATGTTTATATAATCATTAAATGAATATATGGATAAATTTTTAATAAATATTCATTGAGATATTGATTGTATTGTTATTGATAATACGAAACAATTTAATTTGTAAAAATTAAAATTTAGACATTCATTTGTGAAAATAAAAAAATGCAGACATTTAATATATCCTTATCTCAAGGATAACCGATTAGCTGGCTCTGGTGTTTTCCCCCCCCCCCCTCCTCTTCTTTCCCGTCTTCTCGAATAAAAGGTAGGTTTTGTTCAATTATGGCCATTTTCAATATTTAATCAGTAAAAAGTTCCATTTTCTCTTGTGATGGTAATGATTAAAGGGCATCATGTAAAAAAGATGCTGCTTCCACTTATTTAGTTAGTAGTAGTACTATTTCGGCATTCTCTCTCTACTTAAAGTCAACGCCTTCTATCGCCCACTACTTTTTGTTTTGCGTTTTGTCAGTTAGTGCTTTTTCACAAGTTTTCTTCTCCGCGTGTTCACTCATTGACCACATCACCCTCTCCGTCTATTTGCTATCGTGCGCCTCCATCACCTCCTGTGAGTTTTATTGAAGAGTGGCCACCCTCACAACAATCATCATGAGCCCGACCCTTATTTTTGTTTTCTTCGGATCTCTCTCTCTCTCTGTATATAATTTAGTAGTTTGGTTCTCGTTAACCAAGACCCATGGGATGCTCCCGCCAAAATGAATATTGACTAACCCAAAATAAATATTCCGATCGTAAAATTTTATTTTTATGATAACATGAGAGATAGAAAAGCAAAAGTTTAAAATATTAAACATATATCTTATTTATTTCCAACTCGTTTGACAACAAAATTAAATTAAAAACAATTAAAGTTAATTATAAAAAGAATTTTTTTTAAAAAAAAAGAAAGGAAAATTGGTTTGTACTTCAACCCATCTTTCTTTGATCCTTGAATATGAGATTTTTTTTTAATTGATTCGGATTTTTTTATATAATTTCTATGCATTTGTCAACTTAATCAAAGATTACTAACTAATGTCTGAATTGATATATCATGTTTTATATTAATATATAACATAAGGTTATGTGGTGGCAGAATCATTTCTGAGACAGGCATGAAAGCGGGAGCTCACAGTAAGGCACATGAGGTCAGAGACAGCCGAACATAGCGGAACTACCACGAAGCCAATTTGAAAAATAAATCAACAATGGCCCTACCAAAAAGAACCTGGGTGGGGAGAAGTGGGGTGCGCAGGATAAGTGGAAGAGTGGACAAAATCTCGAACTTCTCTCGATCAAGTCTGTCTATAAAAAAAGAGAGTCAGCCAATTGTCACGGTCAGCGTCACTTATTCCCATAAAACCCACCTTTTTTCCAATCTCTCTCTCCCCTTCCCTCTCTCTCGATGACACTGAGCAAAGAGAGCATTTAATCTCTGTCAGTGCTTGTGTTTCTTCTCTAGAGTTGATACCGATAACTATCATCAATTAGGAAAACAGAAAAGAGAGGCAAGGCAGTCAGGCGAGGCAGAAAAATGGATGGTCTGCCCTCTGGATATCGCCCCAACGTTGGGGTCTGTCTCATCAACTCTGATAATCTGGTCTGCTCATCACCTCTTTTTTCTTTCTTCTGATTTTATAACATTTATGCTGATTAATACTTGTGCTGTTGTCTGGATAAAAGTTTATTCAATTTTTGGACAACTGATCACTTGTTTGTTGTTACTTGTTTTTTTTTTCCCAAGTTTGGCATAATAATCCTGCCCTTCTGAAATTGGTATTTAATGAGAAGACATGATAATATTCCTTTGTTAATTACTTACTTGCAGGTTTTTGTGGTTTCAAGATTAAATGTTCCGGGAGCATGGCAGATGCCTCAGGTAATAGCACATTGGATTTGATCTTTCTGAAACAGTGATTAATTCCTCAGAAACGTACATAAATTGTTCAGCTTCTTATTTCTGTTCTCTTGTGAGCTTATCATCTACTATTTAGTGCAGAGAAGAACGATATTGTGATTCCAGTTCTTCTATAGTATCAAAGTAATCTTTAGTTTTTGATGCGATCAGCGAGGTCATTGTTCCGACAGATCATAATTTTGGTTTACATTCGGACTAGATCTCTATTATTCTCATTGAATTTCGCTGCCGGGCAAAGAAAAACTCTTTTTGTTTAATAAAGTAGATGACACCTTCTAAGTCTTTTCCCCATGTTCCTTAGGTGTATTATATCTGTTCTCCGTTTTTACTATATTTGTACCAAGTTAATTACAGTTAAAGACTTTTGATAAATGTAATGAATATAATTTGTGATGCTATAGGATACACCTATTTGCAAGTAACTTCGTAGAGTTTTAGATGATGATTGGTCTGACACTGAAGGGGTCCGCCTTGGGTTTTTCAAGGGATTCGTTTAGATCAACCTTTGCAGATGTCTGACAAGAAGAATTCTTATATCAGTTATCTTTGAATTTACTTTAGTTCTTGCTCGACTATAGTTCCAACCTTCGGCTATGCTTATGTGGTCATCTTTGTGATTTCTTGTGGTAGGGGGGCATCGAAGATGGCGAGGAGCCTAAGTCCGCAGCCATCAGGGAATTGCTGGAAGAAACTGGGGTAGTCTCTGCTGAAATTATTGCTGAGGTTTGTGATCAACTTTGCTAACAGAACGTTAACTGGTTAATTTCATGTTAGACTCTATAATGACTACTGTGAAGTTACTGAAAATAAACAACCTCTCATGTACTCTTATGAATGCATCTTGTAAGTTATAAGCTTGAATTGACAATCAATGTCTGTATTCGCAGGTTCCAAATTGGTTGACTTGTGACTTCCCCCTGCTGTGAAGGCCAAAGTGAATCGTCTATGGGGAGGTGAATGGCACGGACAGGCACAGAAGTGGTGAGCCTCTTTACCTCTCTCATCGAATACACACACTGATATTGTGAAAGAATATAAAATTAGGTTTAAATTGGAGCAATTTAAGGTGCAGTATCTCATATATCACATATGATTGCACCATTACAGTTTTCGTGAACAGCCATTAAAATGTACCAAATTTTCAAGACATTTCTTCTGAGACATTTTCATCTCATTTTTCTGATCCTCTATCCAAACCCTTTCAGTATTATAAATCCTCTTTTCTCTGCCAATATTTAACTATATTTAAATGAACTTGAACCCCAAAATGTTTCTAATGATTGGGAATTCCATTTGATCTTGTGAATATTATGCAATGAGAAAAGTCAGTCATTTCTTTCCTATGATTACATTCTTTGTGTTGTTAAGCTAATTGTAACTAGATTTATTTATGTGTCTGAAATAATGACATTTTTTAAAGTAATTGGAAAGAATAGAGCAGTGGAATATTCTATTCTGCTGATTCTGCATATGATTCCAGGGGTAACAATGAGTTTTGGATGACAGGTTTCTCATGAGATTAAAGAAAGATGAGAGTGAGATCAACTTAGCAAGCGGTGAAGCAGATCCAGAATTTGCAGAGTGGAAATGGGCAAACCCTGAAGAAGTTATTGAGCAGGTATGATGCTGAAAAAAAATGAGACGTTATATATCATATACATTGAATCCTCACTAAGATAAGCAAGCGATTGATCACAGGCAGTGGACTACAAGAGGCCAACTTATGAAGAAGTTATGAGGACATTTAGGCCGTACTTGAATGAAAATGGAATAGCTGCTAAATGTAGATCTTCGAAGTGGTAGATGGTGTGCGTGTGCTTTTGTAGGTCTATCTGCATGGAATCTGGACTTTGTAGGCCTTTGTTCTTTGTAAATGGATGTGGCAGTTAGATTTTCAAAATTAGACGGTTGCTTAACTGTAATAAAACTCTTTGTTCAATCAATTCTCATGATTTTGTTCAAGTTGCTGCGTCCATAAACTTTCTAAACGGCACAACCACCTAAAATCAGAAGAAAAGTAGTAGTCGGGTTTGTAATGTTGGTACCTTGAATTCTCAGTTTTTATTATTTTATTTTTTTACCCGTACTCCAACGTAGGTTTTTTTTTAAAAGCTTTTCTTGTACTCTTATCCTAATACCTAAGCACCGAAAAGAAGAAGAAGAAGAAGAAGAAATTATTACCCTATTTTATGAACACAATTTCAGCTAACAAAAATACGAGAAGCACGGAATTATTGCCATCTCTTTAGCTATTATGGTTTAGTCTAGAAGGTTAGGGTGATGGACTAGATAAAGAGACAGAATCTAGAGGAACGAAATGGTAACTTTGACCTAAATAAATTGATACTCTCTCCGTTCATGAAGATTGTCCTTTTTTCTATATATATATTTTAAAATATTTTGTCAAATTTTTAAATAATATATATTTCCTAAAATGTTTATAATTGATAAAGAAAATCAATTTTTTATTTTATTTTATTTTTTAGTTAAAAAATCATATATATATATATATATATATATATATATATATATATATATATATATATATATATATATTACATGAAAAAATATTTATTTTTACAAAAAAATTTCTTGTATGCCAAAATTTTGAAAGTACAATATTCAGTATGTTATTTTTTTATAATTATTTTAAACTTAACTATTAATTAATTTAATAATTTTTTATTTAGTATCTCAATTTTGAATAGATTTTATTTTTAAATTAATATTAGATATATGTAATATAACTAACAAATTTAATAAAAATAATATTTTAGCAAAATATAAATAAAAAATATTGAATTTTTTAAAATTATTTGAAAAATTAAAAGGGAGAATTTTTTAGAATAAGAGAGTATTCGACAAAATTAGGTTGCAATTAATTTAATTTCTAACATACAGACAATTTTTTTTTTAACAGGGAGAAAAAAGAAAAAAAATAGATCTTTTCAGTTAATATTTTATTTTAAAACTAAAAACTGTTTTTCCATGGCTTCGCGTCCAATCCAGGGTCCATTAAAGATCCAAGTTTGAGCTTGCATGGGCAGTGTTTTCCCGCCGCAGTCACACTACAAGACTGCCCTCCCTCTAAAAAAACAATCCTTCCTTAAAATCGACATTTCCCATTTTAAACTATCTGAAAATGCAACTACAAATCCCATTCCTTCCTGGAAACCACCAAACCCCAAAAACCACAGAAAATAACAGACACAGCCGGATAATGAGCAAGTTCAAAGACTGCGTTTTTACAAAACTGGCTGCTGCTGCAATCAATCCATCTCAAACCATTTTACTCCCAAGTCCCGCATGGAACAAGCCCTGAATCAACTCTTCCCCAATTTTGACACCCCTTCTCACCCTCCTTACTCCTCTATAAGTATTTTCTTGTTTGGCTAAGACCCTTTTTTCCAGAAAATTTCTGTTTAACTAGCCATTCAATGTCAAAAGAGACATTATATATTTATATTGGAATTTCACAAGTCCCATTCAGGAACAAAAAGGGATAAACTTTCCTTTCCTTTTGTTTTGTTTTGTTTTTTTTAATTTTTTTTTTTAAGATGATCGAAACGGCAATACGAGAGTTGAAAGAGGAAAACTCACGTGAGGCAGCAATATCTGTTTTTCTTCAAAGAGAGTACAAGGGTTTAACATGCGGGCATGAAGTTTTTTGAGTCATCATTTGAGGAATCTTTGCAGGACTGGGAGTATATTGCGTGCCGAAGATGACATGTATATGGTTTCAGTTAAAAAATTTGATTCTATAGATATGGAGGAACGGAGTAGGAAGAGGTAGCACAGCGGAGATGGGCTGTCTGGAGTTCAAGATAGAGATTCTTTAGAGGAGCAGAGCGAATTATTTTCTTCAATGTCGCATAAATGGGTGGTTGAAGAACAAAGCCAGTCAGTCGACAGGCTGTGGTTTGAAGTATCAAGAGGGCTGAATGGCTCAGAAATGCAGCTGGTTGAAGTGAGTGAATGAAAATATTTTTTATGTTGTGGAGTAGGATATTTTTTTCACATTATTGCTGCTTTTGTCGTCGTAACCTGTTTCATCTGTATGTTAAATTTCATTTATCAGTCTAGTTTTCTTTTCATCAGTGATTCTAATATCATAAAACTTGAGTTGAGTTGTCATTGTGTTTCAATTTGATATTTTGATGATGTGATTGTAGAATCCAAGAGAGGCAGTCGAGTGCCAGAAGAATATTGGAGCTCTTGTGGACAGAATCCAATCAGGGAGAAGCAGAGGAGAGTAAAATGATTGAAGAACATATTCAAGTTGAAGAACAAGAGACTAAAGTGCTTGAAGAACAGTATGAAAAAGGAGAACGTGTAATAGGAGTGATTGAAGAGCATCAACTACAAGGTCAACAAATTGTATTATTTGAAGATTAAAAGCAGAAAACTGAAAGGACAGAAGAAGAAGAAGCATGCAATGAACCTAATGAAATGCTTGAAGAGCAAAGTAAAGTAAAGAAGTAATGCTCGTTTTCATGTTTTGTTGATGTTAGGCATATCAGGTGCTGACTATATTAATATTAGGTGGATGCTTGGATGCCATGACCCCAGCTGTGTGGTGGAACTGGCAAATCTCAAGGAGAAGAGGTCAGACCTAATTTCTTTTTACATTGATGTTACTTTTTCCCCATTAGTAACATTTTTTAGGTTAGCTGTGCCCTTTTCTCCGTTGAGCAAAACAGAGATTTCCTGGAGATGGAATTTAACAACCAAGAGATCAAGCTTTACTAACCACACAGAATTTTGTTGTAAGGGATTGGAACTTGGACCATGACCATTCATCAGTTCTATTTAAGTTACATTTTGAAAGCTATTTACATAACAAGACTGGGTATATGTCTTCTAGTTCTGCTTAATGAAGCTTGGTTTATTGTTTGTGAAATTCCTTATCTTGATAGGAAATTTGCATGGATTCGGTCAGGAAGACAAAAACATTTAAGGAACAGCTGTTGAAATTTCAGTGTTTTTGAGGGGAGTGCAGGTGCCAAAGGATGACAATCTTTGTTCCATGGTGCAAGGAAAAGAGAGGAAGCTCTAGAGGAGCAAAGGCAACTCCAAAAATGGGAAAATAGTGTAATTCGGGAACAAAGTCAACCACAGGAACAGCAAATTGACATCAGAGCGAAGATGCACTCCTGTTATGATGGTGAGGGTGATGATGTTGTGAACTTGAGAGCTCCATTTGGGGGATCTTCCTTGCCTGTTTCGGCAAAGAAAAGCAGGAAGAGTGGCTGCGAAGGAGAAGTCCATGTGAGCAAAGGGAATTTCTCGTTGTCTGTGGCCCGACTGCACAAAAGCAGCCTCAAAAAAAGATCAGTGGTCTATCCCCCAAATTGACACATCCACCTCTCAAAGGAAAGTCCTTGTGAACAGAGGGATTTTGTTGTTTATGTCTTGGCACAAGCAACAAAACCAGCCAAATCACACCCTGACCAAAGCTTCTCTTAAATTATACACAATTTGAGGGAGAGCTCCTAAACTAAGGTTGATGCAGACATGATTATGGATAATTTGTTGCCTGGAGATGTTCATCACTAATCAGCAGACCAGTCAGAGATGTCGCTGAAACTCATTATGATTGGAAGAAGTAATTATAGTCTTGAGGCCGAGGGAGGGCTCCTAACAAATTTAGAATGCAGAGACTATTACCAGCAACTGAGCATTTAGGTGGACAAATGCCTCCAAAATGGTACCGAAGAATCTGGAGACAGTTGATTTCTCTTTTAGCAACCTCGTCACGATAGTTTAGAAGTGTCTGCTAATATGGTAACGGTATAATTCTCATTTTCGTTATAGTAAATGGTTTTAGATCATGTGTCCAAAACTCCAAAGAGATAGACCAATAGTTTGGAGAATTAAAGCATCAAAATTAGTTTGTATTGCAAAGACATGTGCTGGTGGTTCACTAGTTCGAGTTGTCCCAGAAAAGAGTCTAGATCGTCCCCTGAAATAGGTAGCATATTTAAGAGCTAGAATATGTCCTCTGCATTGGTTGCTGCAGTTTTCGCACCTGGGAAGCTTCAAGCTCCATGAAAGATGCTTGAAATTAGATGTAGCACTAAGTAGCTCTCTTGCCTTCTTCCCTTAATTGCCTTCATCTCCGTCTCTAAGCTGTCATGAAAAGTTTTAACTACGTGCAACGAAAACATTCTGTTGGACTTGTAAAAAGAAAAACAACCAGGCCTTGTAGGTTCCAAGACCTTTTCCCCTTCTTTCTTATATGCTTCTTTGTTCGTGCAGGGCTCAAAATGTCTTTAAGAAGATATTTTTGCTTATTGCAAATCAGTTAGACAGGATACATATGATTAGTTGATACGAGCAAATCACACTTGCACATGACTCGTGAGAGGGTGGGAAAGGACAGAGACTGAGATAAGGACCCTTGAATAGATTCTCGATGCCCGTGAGATTCATAGAATGTATTCCGGTGGAAGTTTTACTTGCAGGATCGCATAATGGAGCATGGTCCTGGTTTCTTTAATAGTTCCATTGTTCATCAGAGAGGAAGTAAGGGAGCTATAGAGAAACAAACTATGATCTTAGAATATGGATTTTGAGGCTAATCCATAGACAAATGCCCCTGAAATAGAGGAGGTTTGGATGAACATCACTTGGAATCTTTCTTTTTCCTTCCTGATTTGAACCCCTAAGTTTTAAGTTATTTTCTTTGGCACAGCAACCCTCCAGTTACGTTGCATATGTGAGTTGCATTATAAAATATTAAAAGATTATATAAAATTGATTAAAAAATAGAAGAAGAAGAAGAAATCAACCTCCATCAATCAATATTATGATAAAAATATAACATATAATATGATAAATTATCATGAAGAAATCACTTGGAAAATAATATGATAATCCAACCACAGATGCCCCTGAACTAGGAGGTTTGGATGAACATCACTTGGAATCTTTCTTTTTCCTTGCTGATTTGAGCCCCATCAATCAATATTATGATAAATATATAACATACAATATGATAAATTATCAAGAAGAAATCAACTTTTGACTTTTTTTTAATGATTTTTTAGAAAAAATTTGCACATGATATTTAACAGTCAAAATAGAAGAAGGAATGTACTTGAAAGGGATGAAATCTAACATAAGAAGTCTCAACAAAATACGTAGTTTATGGACTGAAAATTAAAAATTAAAAAATAAAAGATCCCAAAGATATCTACTGAAATGGCTTATATAATTCAACGGGAGTTAGTAAATTTCACCTGGGTTTGACGTGGCATTATAGGCTAAAAAGCTACTTGTGTTTTTTGAAGAGTAAAAAGCTATTTGTTGCTTCTGCATATCGAAGGGTTATTAGATTTCTGTTTGAGTCCGTCGTTCACTTAAATTAGCAGTTCGCAGACTAGCTTTTTCCTTTTTTTATTTCTTGGTGTGTTTGACTAATCTTTGGAGGTTTTGAAGCTAAAATAAAATGTACTCAACGTCAATTTATATAGTATGTCCCTTGTTAACCAAAAGAATTTATATCGTATGTCAGTTGGATAACAATGGACTCGGCCATTGCACATGACATGGATCAAACGTCCTGCATGAGTACTTGGATTACAATTTGCACCTCACACCGATGGATCAAAGATAAGGATTGAAGGACAGAACAACCTTTTTTTTTGCGCGGGGGTGGGTGGAGAGTAGAATAAATTGTAAGTACGAAGAAGAGCTGGCTCCATTGAATGTTGAAACCAAGCTCCAATCTGCAACCGACGCATTAAATATGTTGACGTAACGCTAAAGTTCAAATGAAATCGTAAAACTTGGCAAACTTATCCCATCCTTTTCAGATTGGTCTGGTTGTAATGGAGATGTGTGATCTCTCTTTAGATTTCTTTTTTTAAGTTTAAATACAAACATATTTCTTTTTAATACATCAAACTGATGTAAGAGGAAATTTTTTATCAATGCGTGAATTAGTCTAATTTTATTTCTATTTATGTATAAATTATTCGGAGAATAGTCTTATTTTCGAATTAAGAAAAAAAAAAAAAAACTATCCCACTCCACCCCACGATTTCCATGACGGAGAGAAGCGATATGTAATTTGATCAAACAAAATTCATTCTTTCTGACCAGCAATTAATTAGAGAATTTGACAAATTAAAAAGAAACGTAACTAATTAGCATCTCTCTTCATCGCCTTCGTTGTCACCTTAGATGAAACCTAGCCGTACGGACACTGTATAGATGTCTGTCTTGCAATTTCAGCTACTAAAATAGGGCACTTTACCAACCATTTTTAATTATTTATTTCACAATACGTACCATTCGATTATCTATTCATCTTCGCTGCCTGCTTCAATTAAAGAAGATAAACCTATATTTTGAACGGCCCGCAGGCACCGACACCGTCCCGTTTTTGAGACGATTTTAGTTTTCTTATAAACGCGTGCCCCATCCCTGTCCTTGATGACAGCTGCTGGTCAGCTTAATTTCTAAGACATTTTTAAAGAGTTTAAATTTGTTTCAATTTTTTTTTTTGGTGGTCCAAGTGTCAAAAATCAAACTGAAACAAATTTACATAAATTCCTTTTTTTTTTTTTTTTTTTTGAGAAAGAATCTGTATTCTGAATGAAACTGGATTTTGTTAATGATATAAATTTTTGTCTTTCTTTGGAGAAGTTAAAAGAAATTTTTAACATTTAGAATTTAATTTGCGATGAGACGACAATCATATCTCAATCAAACGAATTATGGATTTTTTAAAAAAAAAAACTGAACGTAACAAGTTCACATAAACAACTAACGATGCTATTCTAAATAAATAAAAACCGTCCAAATAAAACATGTGCTAATGTCGTTGGAGTTAACCACATAAAACTAAGTCTAAATACAATTGGTCATGAAAACCATAGAGGTGTAAATTAGTTTTAAAAAATTGAGTTTTCATCGAGCACTAAACTTGTGAGTTTGCACTAAGTAATCGGCCAACAAACTTGAAATTTTACACCAAATAAATTGTAAAGCTTATAATTAAGACTCGTCAACGGATCGAGCTCGGATCGAATCATAATAAATTCATATCCGATTTATTTAATAAAAAGGATCAAATTGAATCTTATAAATTTAGATTGAATTTTTAAAAATGTAAAATTCGATCCGAATCCTTACGGACTCGAATCGAATTTGAAACTCTATTAAATTTATCATTTGATTTTTGTACAAACAATTTATGATTACTACATTTCATATATATATTGTTCAAATATAAAATATATTTTAATTAGTTTTGTATAATAAAATATATTAAAATAATATTTTATTTATTAATTATAAATATAATTATTATCACTTGAGTTGAAGCTTTTTGCAGAGATTAAGAAAATTGTTTGAATTTATTATCATTTGAATTCATTTTATTTGACAGTGAAGTTATTGTTTTTTTTTTTTGTCATTTTTTCTCCCATCTTCTGACTATTATCATAACAATCTTTTTTTGCTATTATTATTTTGCCAACAACCTTTAAATTTTTACGTGGAGACAGATTAAAGAAAATACAACAAACATGTTCCTCTATTCATATAATTCTAAGACCTAATAACTATTTGTAATATAAGTAGGTAAAACAACCACTTAAGAGTCAGTCCCTAACTTAAAAAAAATTAAATGGTTTAAATATTAATGTCAAAATCAAACAAAAAAAAAAAAAAGTAAATATCTTACCGGAAAAAGACATTTGAATCCTTTACAAAGACGAAGTAGGAAAATCTTATATTATAAATTTGGTGAAATTTTTTTTAGAATAGTTTCAATCATAAAATGTTTCAAATCTGAATTAACAAAATATGTATAGAATAACAACTTTTTTAAATATCAGTCACTCCACCTATTAATTTTTCATTGGACAGCTATCAATGTTTTATTTATACACATATATATATATCCATAATTTAAAATGTTTATTTTAAACTCTCATAAATTTTGAAGAAACTAACTTAACATGGGCCATCTCCATTTGTGAACCACCAATTTAAGTTTTTGTGCGTGATAGCGATAATAAAGAAGCTAAATTAGCCATGGGGTATTCACTAGCCCCCACAACGTTGTGGGGGGTAAGGATTCCTTATCCGAAAAAAAAAAAAAAAAAAAAAAAAACACTTAGTATGGGACATACATCATTTATATTTGGCTACGAATTTCAACGTATTTGTATCTTAAAAATGTGTAATTATTGTTGAGATGCTGGCACAAGTAGCAATACTTCGTCTTGGTTTTCACATTAACCATTTTTGGTTCGAATTCAAGAGAATAATGCAATAGAGGAAATTTGTAGGCTAATGGTGAGAGAGGAATAAAATGTCCAAATCAAACTGAAAATTGACATGTAAAATGGAGCCAAACCACACTATATATGGTTATAACTACAATCAACATACCCACCACTAAAGTTTCCAAAAAAAGAAAAAAGAAGAACTCCATTACTACTGATTATTCATAGACACAATAAATACGAGAACAGAATAAATAAAACCCAAAAAACCCACTACCATGGCGTGGAGATAGATGCATGTCCTATCAATTCAAGGGGTAGATACTCAGGTCCTATCAATTCAAGAGGTAGATACTTAGATCCATCTGGTGGAGGGAGTTCGTGAGGAGGTCCAATCACCTTCACACTTTCATGGAACGGTATACCCCTCCCTGCCACCAAGCCAGTCCACTAGATATTACCTCATAGTCTGTCTCTTCCCTGCTAAATACTCTAAAAAAATTAAAGCTCCGCGAACATAGGGTTGGATAAGATAAGGTACGCATTTTGAGGAACTCTCTGTTCTGTAGTATATACTCTCACTTTTGTTCTTTTTCTTGTTTAAAATCCATCCCTGTCGTTTTTTCTCTTACCCTCTGCTTTTTCAATTACAGCCTGTTTAGTAATGCCTTTCTTGTGATTTTTTTTTCCGTATTTTTTTTTATAGGAATATGTCAAACCATCTAAATATAATAGTGTTTTTTCAGTCTAAAAGAAAAAGCACCCGGAAAGACTACAAAAGGTGGTAATGGTAAATATATATAAATATGAGGATTATGAGTTTATGATTACCTTGACTTTCTGTATTTCTTTTATTTTTATCTAAAAGAAATCTAAAAATGAGTTTATTTATTTATTTATTTTTTACCAAGTTAATTTGTCCTATCCCTGTTTAACATGAGGTGTTGCTTTGCTAAAAGTTTGATAATTTCTGACCACACTTTAGTTGACGAGTTCAAAAATCTCCCATCACTCGGCTTTCCCTATAAAAAACGTGCACACACGCTTGCTTCTATGTTACGAGGAACAGATTCTTGATTTTGATTCAAATCCCATTTTATGATCTTCCTTGCTTCCTTCCATATCTCCCTCACCGTCGAGCAATCAAGGTAGCACTCCTTTCCTGTCATGTCTCTGTTTCTTTTTTTTCCTTGTTTTTCTTTTTTTTTCAACTTCTTTCATGAGGTTAGATTTGGAATTTCTGTTATAAATTGCTAGTGTTGTTCAATTTTGTTTTGTTTATTCAGATCATGCTTGACAAAGAATTTTTCACCGAGTATGGAGAAGCAAGCCAGTATGAGATTCAAGAAGTAGTGGGGAAAGGAAGCTATGGCGTTGTTGCATCCGCCATAGATACTCACACGGGGGAGAGAGTTGCTATCAAGAAGATGAACAATATCTTTGAGCATGTCTCTGATGCTACTCGGATTCTACGTGAGATCAAACTGCTTCGGCTGCTTAAACACCCTGATATTGTACAAATCAAGCATATTATGCTCCCTGCTTCTCCAAGAGAGTTTAAAGACATTTATGTGGTGTTTGAGTTGATGGAATCTGACCTTCATCAAGTTATCAAGTTAAATGATGATCTCATGCCTGAGCATCATCAGTTTTTCTTGTACCAGCTTCTTCGTGGCCTCAAATATATACATACAGGTTTCGGAACGATTGCTTTCTAATTCATTTTTGGGATTTTAATTGATATGAACATCATTAGTTGTCCCTGTAATAGAACCTGCTTTTGCTGAATATTTATTTGGTTGTGGTGTTGGTTTCTGCAGGAAATGTGTTTCATCGAGATCTGAAGCCCAAAAATATTCTAGCTAATGCTGATTGTAAAGTAAAGCTTTGTGATTTTGGGTTGGCTCGGGTGTCATTTAGTAATGCTCCTTCTGCTATTTTTTGGACTGTATGTGTCTTCTTGAAGCACGGTTGTCTGTTTCAGTGTTTAATTGTGTTCTGTATGTAATTATAGTGTTTTAGAGGATTATAATATTAGTTAGATTATATTCTTTGTGGAGTTTACGTTGGCTTACAGAACTTTTTTGTTCCTTTTTGTTAAGGATTATGTGGCAACTAGATGGTACCGTGCCCCTGAACTTTGCGGCTCCTTTTCCTCCAAGGCATGTAAATATAAATTATTTTTCCTTCTTATTGTGTTCATTATGTAGTATGCTTGTTTTGAAAAAATAAAATAAAATTGATTGCGGGTATGTGTTATTTTTGTAAGCCAGCTTTTAAGTTCTGCTTAGTCTACATGTTGACTTTTATTATCTTAACCCAGCTTAGTCTTTTGGGTTTTTCACACTTGCATTTGGCTACACTAATTAATTATCTGCGGAGAATTTGTCGAGTCGACCATAAGACTGTCGCATGAATTGGTTTTAATTCAAATCCCATCCACCTTCAATATTATCAAAAGGATGAAAGATGCCCTCCACAAGTTCAAACTACAAAGTCCATTTAGCATATTGATGTGCAGCTTGTTAGTCGTGAAAATTGAATTTTGTTAAGAAACTTGTGTCAGATACCTGATATTTTTTTCTGCAGCTATAGTTTGACATGACAGATTGATCAACTATGGTGGTGCATTTTTTGCTTTTCTTCATCAGCTATCCAGCGTTTCCCAATGCTCAATAATGTTTTGTGCTCCATTGTTCATTTTTTTTTTTTTTTTGGATTAAGTAACCAAAATTGCATCGCTCAGACTATTATTCATTTGCCATTTGAGATTTTGTTGTGACGCTTTTACTTAAAATTTGTGTTCTGCAGTACACTCCTGCTATTGATATTTGGAGCATAGGATGTATATTTGCAGAGTTGTTGATAGGGAAACCCTTGTTTCCTGGAAAAAATGTGGTGCATCAATTGGAACTCATAACTGATTTGCTCGGCACTCCATCTGCCAAATCCATTGCACGAGTTTGTTACCTTTCTCAATCAATTTCTTTTGCTATCTTAGAAACTTCAGCGTTTCCTAATCCTGGTTATGCCCTTGTTCTCATCACATCTTTTCTGTTATACGTGCAGGTTGGGAATGAAAAAGCTAGGAAATATTTGAGTAGCATGAGGAAAAAGCGGCCAATTCCTTTCTCAAAAAAATTTCCAGAGGTAGACAAATCTGCTTTACGTATACTGGAGCGGTTGCTGGCATTTGATCCCAAAGATCGTCCATCTGCAGAAGAGGTAAGATTTAGTAAACCAATAGTTTAGCATACTTTTTATTACAACCTTTTTATTCTTGATCTTTTTATCTATATTCATACAGTTTCGTTCCTGATATTTGTTTCTATTCTCTCTCCAGGCTTTAGCTGATCCATATTTTGATGGACTAGCAGATAAGGAGCAAGAACCTTCAAGGCAACCCATTTCAAAACTTGAGTTTGAATTCGAAAGGAGGAAATTGACAAGCGATGACGTGAGAGAGCTAATTTACAGAGAGGTATGACCATATTGGGTGATGCTTGCTTCAGGTTACTACTCTGCTTGTTTCAGGTGTACCCTTACTTCCTTAGGTTTGAATTCTGATTTATCTTATTTTCTATGAAACAGATTTTGGAGTATCATCCAGAGATGCTGAAAGAGTACCTTCGGGGCACAGATCAGACTCACTTTGTGTATCCAAGGTGAAGAACAGACAAGCTATTACAATGGCATGATATAAAGAAGGAACTTGCATATGCATAAAATAATGGAACACCCTATCCTCACAGATACCTATTGTAGCTGTCATAAGAAAAAAAAAAACAATAATCAATTTCCTTTGGATGTCAACAACATTATTATATAGAGAGAGATAAGCACTTATTAAGTTCCTTTTGGGGGATTTCAAGACAACACTGATACTTTCTTTGTTGCATGTATGTTCATCCAGTTGACGCTTCATTACAGAGACAAGATATCCATTTCGCTACTAGCATGCAACAAAAGCTATGATACCAAACATGATTACTAGTGTGCATAAGAAAGCGGCAGCAGTGTGTTATACAGAAAAAAGTTTGTGTTAGAGACAATTTAAACTTCATTTCTAATGAAATATCATTTGCAAGTTAGATTTGAATAATTTCATTAGTTCAGAACTTTGCATCATGTGACAGAACCATGGTTTCTCCTTGTTTGTTCAAAGAGCAGTTGCTGATTATTATCTCATCTGGATTTCATTTGTCCAGTGGAGTTGATCGATTTAAGGAACAATTTGCTCATCTTGAGGAAGGTGATGGTAGAAATGACAAACCCAGCCCTCACCACAGGAAGCATGCGAACTCCTTGCCTAGGTAATGTGTTGGAAACACCTTTTTTCTACATGGTGGTTTACTTGTTCAAATGATTTTATTGATTTGGGCCCCTTTCTTTTTGCAGGGAGCGAGTCTGCACAGCTGATGAAACTGACAATGCTGTAAAGCGCAATGCATCTTCTCTCTCTCGTGCAGCTGTACAGAGCCCCCAGAAGTTGCAAGCTGCTGAAGAACTGCAATCTGCTAACCGAAATGCGGTAGCTATGCAGAACAGCTCCACTAAACCCAAGTGTGGCACACGTACTCTGTTGAAAAGTGACAGTATTTGTGCTTCAATGTGTGTGGGACTAATTGGTAATGATCGCCAGGTACATGCTCTCTGATGAATATCGGGATCCTACTGCAAATCTTGGAGGGTACCTGCTGGAGGGTGGTTCAGAAAGCATGAATTTATTCAGCTAACAAACTGGTGGAAGTATTAGAATAGGTTACTGCTGCTAATCCTTTTATTGCTTGCATTCTATAATAATATTTACAAACCTACAAACAATATGAAAAGCAAGCATCAAAAAAGCGTGGCATGAAGAATGTACCTCTACATGTTACGCGCAACTCCAGTTAATTGTAACCCCACTCTGCAGCCTGCAGGGGGAATTAAATAGTTGCTCATTGGTTTATTTTAGAAGGTAGCAATTCCAAATGTTTGATGTTGTACTTTTTTACCAGATAAACTGCAAATAGGATCGCTCCGTTTTGCTGCATGCCTCCTGTTTGCTGGTGGATGTTTGTTTTCCTATGGGATAATAGAACTGCATTAGTGTTGCTGTTGTCAGTACACAGCTTTGGATTTGATCAAACTCTTGGCCGTTATTCATGGCAATTTGGAATCTTATAAATGAATCACTGGTAATAGCACAATAGACTTATCTGCCTAATGCACGGAAGCAAGTATAACTAGCCTGACCACTGGATAAGACCATATGTAAAGAGTGAATAGTTGTAAGAAATAGAGAACTTCATCACCAACTTATCCTTTCAGAGGATGTTTAACTAATGCTTCAGAATACAAATATCAATGTTTAAGAATCATGGTCATTGCAATACTTAGATGAGATTGAAAGGTTGCCTTTTGGTTAGTAAATCATGGCTAAACAAAATGGATATGGTATGACAAAATATAGAAAGGCTCTGTTTAAGTTCTGCTCTCGGTCAAACTTGCTCCCGGTGCCTGCAGGAAAGGAATGTGGCTGAACTTGCTTTGTTTGCTTTTATTACATCGCTTGAGAGGCCTTTCATTTGTTTGATTCTACTAATTCTACTACAGCAAAAGGCTACCCTTGCAAGGGTTGCTATCACTAGGTATTTGATTAGTTAGCAGCGGATGCATGCTTCTTTCCTTGGCTTCTTCCATTTAATCAACATTTCTTACAAATCTCAAAATAGACTGCACTTCCTGTTTAAATGGTGGTAAGCTGATAATTGTAGTCAAGCAAAGCTAACGATGTCAAGCTCCTTTTTTCTCCAATCGTTGAGAGGTAAGGCGCATCCCAGATTTGACGACTGATCTTAGCTTATGTTTTCTAAAATAGTTATGATAAAGTTCTACCTTTAGTGTTTAATGGAGAGCCATATTAGCATCAAATGTTGCTCTAAACAGTTCGCAGATTGCGTTACTGTTAGTAACAAGACATAATCTTAGAGGACTTGAACTGGCAGGGCAGTTTACTGTACATGAACTGATAATTTGGTCGTATACTCTATGGAAAACCTTCAGTTGATCTGTTTCCAAGAACTGTCATCCACAGAACACATTCTAGATGAGGTTGTTCAATCTATTGAAGATTGAGGACCAAAGTATATGATATTTAGTGGTATTGCGGGGGAACTGCCTTCCAAATATATCTGGTGAAGACAGAAGGATATTAATTTATTACCCACAAACTTGTGAAATGAATACAAGATCTGTTCTCCTCCACCCCAAGAAGAAAGAGAAGAGAACATTGGTATCTGTTTGCATATGAGTGACAAAAGTACCAGTTCTCAAGCTTGAAAAGACCAGATGAAGCTTCTATTGAAAATATAAGGCCACCTGATTCAGGATGTGGCATATAATAAATGCAACATTGGACCAAATGCGCAACTCTACAGTTGTTCTATTTAACAAAAAATTATTTAGTATGCGTTCCTGGCATCCCAAGAAAGAAATTCCAATGGTCTGCATCATTCAACAAACTAAATATTGCAATGGTTTTAGTTCTACATCTGTACTGTTGAAACTTCTTCACTCATTCAGGAGGTGTTGTAATATTTCCATTCTACCCACTTCCATCAAGCTGTCCGTGAGAAAGGAGGTGTGCCATATATTGCTGCAAGAATATAAATATAAATGCATGTGCAAAAAGCAGAAGAGCATAGGAACTTCAGTTCACACAAAAAAAGAAAGATCACGAGAAGTTTCAGACTTCAGTTAATGCAGATTCAGCAGGCTTAATTCTCAAGTTTATTATAATTGGTAGTATCAAATCAGAGAGAAAGCAAATGCTTGAAGCATTGGCAATTACATTAAACAAAGACTCCAAATATCTTCTGTAATAGTGACGAGAATCTCTCTCTTATCAGGTCAGAACTTCAAGGCTAGATCAAAATAACAGCTTAACACTCAAAACATTATATAACAGGCCAAATTTCTTTCTTTAAACTAATTCACACTCACCACCACACAAAACCTAAAGGCTAAATCAAAATAACAGCTGAAGAAAATAAATTTTGCTCAACACCGCAGATTCTGTAACTTTTATCACCTATTAATGTGCAAAGGACATGATGTTCAGAGCAGTTCAGATGGTTTCCAACCATGATATAGGGGTTTTAAAATCATGAATCATATTCTTCTTTTTTTCTAACTACCAAATGAAGAGCCATTATCAAGAATGCCAAACTGAATTCACCAATCCATTAAGTATTGCTGGTATTAAAAGATGCAGTCATAATTATCATTTATCCAAAAGACAAATGCAGGGTCTAGTAGAAGAGGCTCAAAATGGCCCTTTTCTGCACTATCTTATTCCAAAAACAATACTTCTAATATAATCCATTATCTGTAAAATATAAAATCTAACCATCCACAGAAAACTATATGCTATGACGTACATTCTTTTGATTAGTATTTGAAGGAAGAATGTAAAAGAGTCCACATCACACAACTTATACTAGATAATCAGTTTTAGGATTTTGGAAAAACAACGCAACTTAAAATTATAACCATCAATGCAAATTGATGGGACTCCAATCTTGTAAAAGTCATCCATGATGATCGAGTTTCACATAAACTCTATACAATATACGCAATGTAATAAAGAATTCAACTCTCAAACACAATATTAAATATGCAAATGAGGGGATGAAGGATATTATAATACTAGCATCGTGAAACTTACTGCATGGTATGCATACGGCGATTTCCCTTGGCGTTCAAAGTGCTTGGTCATGATCGAGTACTCAATTGGACCCCACTCCTCCGATTCAAAGCAATTGCCAAGTGCAGCTTTATATAGCTACAATCAACAAAGATCAAGCAACACATTTAAAATTCTTAAATCTGAATAAAGCATAAAATACACGTGTAGAACCACAAAAGTTATTTAACAGAAATAATTGATCACAGACCTTAGTGGCATCAGTTAAAAGCTCAGTTCCAGCAGGATAAGCTGCATAGAATTGGTCACCTCTAGAAAATCCAGCTCTGGTTCTACAACAGCCAAAAAAAAAATTCCACCAAAGAAAACAACATTAGAATCAAGGTCCTGATATGTATCATTATATTAATGTTGATTGCCCTAGATTGCCAAGCTCTAGTCTCTCACCAAAATGAACAGACTAACCTCAGATAAAAACAGAAACCAAAATCAGCATTAAAATACAAAGGCCGGCTAAACGTTTTTAGTTTTACAATAACAACAACAACAAACCCAACAAATAGAAAGACCAGAAACCATGAACCAAAGATATTAGCAAAACAAGAGACCCAACAGAAAAAATCTAGATATATAAACCCACCAGAAAAAGGAGAAAAAACAAAGAAATTGAAACACGGACATTGCAAACTTTAGTAAAAGAGTAATTGACTCACGTATTGGATGTATAAGCATAGCTCATGACAGCAACAAAGCAATAGAAACCAGTATAAGAAACGACTCTGCGAAGCTTTTGAATCTTTAATATTTCTTTGAACCCATCATAGAGCATCGCCATCATCGTTTATACTGCAAGGTGAACCTGAGACACGAAATTTAGTCAGGCGATAACCAGCCAAAACATTTAATCGAACACCTTGCGTGCAGGGTCTGGTGTAATAGTTTTGAGACAGATGACTTACAAGTAGCCAAAAACTATATGTAGCTTCAATTAGTTCGAATTTATCGATATTTGTAGGCGTAGTATGAGAAGTGAAAAGGAGATGCAGTGTTTGTTCCTGGTATTTGACACTCTCTGGCTATTAGTGCAGCTTCTTTAACTGTGTTTTGAAACAGATAACTCTGGAGGGACTTAAGGAATAAAAACTACAAAAAAGTCCTCCAGCTACGTTCTTGATTTCGATTAAGTCTCCAGATAAATGTACCACAAATCATTGCTTTAGAAAACGTGTTGCTCCCACGTGTGTACTCATCAAACCAGTCATTCAAGGTTATGTTTGGAATGATTGTTGAATTTTGATTTAAGTTAGCATTTTTTAACTTTTTACTTAAAGAAAAGACATATATATATATTAAGTTAGCATTTTTTAACTTTTTACTTAAAGAAAAGACATATATATATATATATGTTAGGTTATGAATAAAGAAAAATTTGTTACAACATTGAGTTAAAATTTTATTTTAATTAAAAGTTAATTCTTATAACTTTTAATTTATGAATTTTAACTTATATTATCTCTCTTTTTCAAAAATATTCTTTTGAGTCAATTTTTGTCTAATATACTTCTAATTTAAAGAATTTTTTTTTTTTGTTATAAATTACTCAGGTAAGACAACTTTAATTTAAAGTTAAAAGTCATGTTTTATAAGTTATGCTATACGGATTCTGAGTTGATTTTATAAAACTAAAATTATTGATTTGTTGTCGTTTTTGGAGAATTACTAGTTATAAATAGCATGTGTGTTCAAAAGATTTTGGAGAATTACTAGTTATAAATGGGAAAAATTTATTGAATAGTAATTTTATTGGCTGTCGTTTTTAAAAATTTTGGATTAGGTTTTGTTGGTAAGAATTGCTACTAACGGCGGCACATGCAAGGTACATGTACATATCTAAAATTTATCAATTGCTTCGAAGAAAGTACAGCATTGAGCAGTGTACGTTTAGTTTTCTATTGGTGCTATACATCGCAGATCAAATAAAATATGTTAAATCATTTAAAAAAAATTATGTCAATTTGATGGTTCGTTACCTGTGAATTTATTAAAATATATAAAATTAAAATTTAAAAAAATCATCTTATTTAATAATTTTTTCATCAAAATTTTGTATGTAATTAATTCATTTTTATGTTTTTCATTATTTTTCTTCTGAAAGCAACATGATTTATCATTTTTTAATCAATGGATTATTAACTAAAAATTTGTAATCATCTATAAAAAAATCAATACAAAATTAAAAAACACCTTAGCATTTTTCATAAGATTGTAAAAGTAAAAACTTGAATAAAAATAAACAGATAAAAAAATTATTTTTGATTCTTATTTAATATTAATGAGAATATTAGTTTTTAAAATATGTATTTTTAATTTTTGTATTTTTATTTTCAAAATAATCAGTAATATTATAATAAAAGGCTATGTTTAAATTATTGGATGGTTACACCAAGATATAATTTTAATTGTTTTATTTAAAAGAAATTGACTTCATAATATCTAAAAAATAAATAAATAGTAAATAGTTAGTGTTTTGTGTAGTTGCGAGTTAATTTATAATAAAATCAAAATTTATTTTTGTATACATCATAATTATACTGAGTAAGTTTATAAGCACAACATAAAACAAAAAATACTAAAAAAGATAGTTAATTTATAAAGAATACATTGAATAAATTTGAAGTTAATAAACTAAAATAAAAACTATTATAAAATTAATTTTGATTATATAAAGACAAAGTAAACGAAACACGTGAATTCTTTTTTCTTTTTCTCTATATGTATACGTTTGACTTTCAATTGTTAGTTAACTATTTTTTTAAAAAAATGAGATAAATTATCTAAAATATACTTTTAATATATATATATATAATCATGCTAATAGAATTTAAAAAATCTAAAAATCCATCATATAAGTTATATTAATTTTTTTTAAATAATCATGTTGTAAAATTTTATTCCAAAATTATACATGAAAAAAAATCATATTTTTCACTAAATAGAAATTTATAAAAAATAAAAAATTACTTGGATGTGAATTGTCATAAAAAATGACAAATTAAAGGAATAATTTTTCAATAATAAGAGTAATATAATTTGAAATATATATTTATTTAAAAATATAAAAAAATATCATATATATTTATTTTTCTCTAAACTACAAGGAAAAATAAAAAAATAATAATAATTGATCTTCCATAATTTTCTTCCAAAAATCCATAATAAAAAAATTATTGAAAAAAAAAAAAACTAGGGCGTAGGCCTACGTGTTTGGGTCCAAAGAACAAGTCCAGGTGCTTGGGCTTGTGCAGGTCGGGCTTTAAAAAAAAGTTTTTAATTTTTGATGACGTGTCGCTTGATTGTAATTTTTGACAAACTCCAGTTCTTCGAAAAAGTTGCCTTAAGTTTTTAATTTTTGACCTCTTCAATCCGAATTTAGTATTATTTCTATTCATAAATGCTTCAAAATAAAAAAAAATAAGGTCAATAAACTAATTTAGAATTTTAAAACCTGTTTAATGGACACAAAATACATAAAAATTTCAAATCAAATTTAAAAAAATCAAAATATTTTGGAATTCTGATATGCCTTCTCTAATGATTTCATGGATTTGGGGCACCTAAAGCAAACTCTTCTTTTAAGACTAAAAAATTGAAGCCATGATCAAGAGATAAAAGTAGTCGAATGAATCTTATCGTGACTTTTTCTCTTTCTTGCCTTTCTATCGTTGTTTTTCTCTCCTTTACGTATTTAGAAACAAAATCATAATACAAATAAAGCTCAAAACCGAAGCAAAATTATCTGAAAAAATTAGTGATCAAAATGCAATATTCGTTAAACTTGCATTTAAAATAATTAAAAAAGCTTGAAAATCACTAAAATGCCATTGCATAATAAATGTACAGTTGAACTGTATGTGTGTTCATAGTGTTTTAGGAGGGGAAGAGGGGATCCACAATAGAATGTACATTAACACCATCTCTTTTAGTTATATAACTAATAATATTAAGGTAATATTGCTTGATTTTGAATTTTAAAAATTTAAAAGAAATCACAAATATAGTTAAGGGCTTATTTAAGTTATTTGTAGTTTTTCAAAAACAAAGCGCTAGTTTTATATTTACTATTGAAAATAAAATATAAAGGTTTATGTTGGTCGAATAGCTCATTAGCCGTGTTAAAAATACATATCTTAATAATATATTTGTTGGATATTTTTTTCTTTCAAAATTAATTAAGTAATTTAATTAAGTTTATTTTGTAATAATTTATTAGTATTATTTTTTTTAGTTTCGATATAGGTCTAACCTATATAACAAATATATTAGGTTAAGAATGACCTTGATCGGCACAAGACTTATGGACTGCATAACGATGGATGCGAATATTCTAAAAAAGTCAAGTGTTTATATTCTATTTTTGAAATACACTACAGAAATCGACTTGATAAGTTAAGAACATTATCCTTTAAAAGAAGACTCAGTTGCTATTTTTAATATTTATTAGCAAGTAGAAGTAATTTACATTAAAAGACCCGTTTTTTCAACTTAAATATAATTGTTCAAATATTAATAAAGTAGCATGATCCTAAAAGTCAAAAGAAATATTTATTTTATTGTAAGTACCAACCTCACAACAATTAGGGGAGGATTATATATATTTTTTTATCTTGAGCAAAACCTTTGAACTCTCTCTCTTTTTAAAATTAGTCTACTTGCACACTATACATTACTTAAAACTTTATTTATTGGAACTTTGTTAACAATTATTCCTCTGCCACTTGCTTTGCATATTGCTGTTATTACTCCTGTTCTTTCTCCTATATTTCTCATCAAATGTATTTGTTGTATTTGATTGATGATTATTACTCTTATAAATCACAACATCATATTTTTACCAATCTACCGACTTATCTTTTGACTTAGGTGATGTTTGATAAAACTGAAAATTAAGTGTTGAATCTATTAAGTACTGAAATTTAAGTGCTGAATACGTTAAGTATCGAATATGCTTCGACAAGTCGTTTGATATTTACCGAAAATTAAGTATCGAATATAATAAGCATGTTTGAAGATGATAGAATATATATGATATTTTTTTAAAGATTTTAGTTTGAACATATGTATCCGATTATATTACTCTTATTGTTTAAAATTTATTTTTTTCAATTATTTTTTCTTAAGAAATTCTAATCAAATTAATTTTTGATATAATTTTATTTTTTAATAAATTTTATTTTTTAATATATGAATTTTGGAATAAAATTTTATAACGTCGATGTTTTATTTTTTAAAAATATATTATTATAATTTATATAATGAATTATTTTTATGCTTTTCAAATGAGTATTTTATTTTTTAAAATATATTATTATAATTTATAAATTCATATATATATATATATATATAGAGAGAGAGAGAGAGAGAGATTATGTTTTAGATAGTTTGACTTAATCAAATAAGTTAAAAATTTTAACTTATCTAATTAAGTAGATTTTAACTTAATTTAAAGTTTTAAAATGAGATAATTTAAGTTATCAAACAAGATTTTTATATTAAGTAGTACAACTTAATTTTTTAAGCTCCTTAATTACGTTATCAAATAATGTTTTAGTTTAAAAAATTCCTCGCACAAGTAATGTTAAAAAATCCTTGTCAAACTTCAAACTTTCGTATAAAAAAAGTTATTTGCTTCGATACGCTTACAAAAGATTTTCAAATAGATTTTAATTTATGTTTGACAATGCAGTTCAGCCGTCCAGGTCTCTGTGCAAAAGTATATTTAGACCGAAAGGCAATCAAAACATAGTTGCAATTCAAACACAATCAAAGGTCGCCTTCCAAAGAATGGATAAGGAGGACAATGGCAACTGGCAAGGGCCTAAAAACCTCACGAGCAGCATTCTAGCTGTGCGATAATTTGTATATGTATATGTATTTTTAAAACCATTACAGAAGATGATTTTTTCTTAGTTGACAGAGGACTATACAAAGATGTCTCTAAACAAAAAAATAAAAAAATTTCTATTTCGCAAGCAGTTGAAAAGCGAAATCGAATGCCTCCTTGCTGCTATTTTTTCTCTGGTTCTTCTTCTCCTCCTCCTCTGCCTCAGTATTATTTTTTCAGCTAACGTATCAAACCAGAACTCAACCACGCTTTTGGATCAATCCAAGCCGAGAAGTGCTCTCCATCTCTTGCTATTGGACAGTCCAAGATTTTTTCAGAGCCTTAGGACTTTGAAAGTCTTAATCGACTTTATTTTAAGTTGGCAACAGGACATTTTTGTCATCATAGTTATCCCCCACGCGGCACCCAAGATTCTTTTGTCACCACATGTATCCGCCACAGCTGGACTGACTCTTACGATACCAAAGCCCAAAACAACAAATCATCAACAATTCACCAGTAACTCAGTCCCCATCACCAATGGAGTCGACAACAGCCGTCTCCTTCTTCCTCCTTCTCTGTTTCCTCCACCATTCCTCAGCCACAACATCAAGTTCAACCATTACTTTTCCAAACGAAGCACTCCCCACAAAATCAGGTTACCTCCCGGTCAACCCCAAAACCAACTCGGCTATTTTCTACACCTTTTATGAAGCCCAAAAACCAACTTCACCTCTTTCCAGAACCCCACTTCTCATTTGGCTCCAAGGTGGCCCCGGCTGTTCCTCCATGACTGGCAACTTCCTCGAACTCGGCCCTTATCGCGTTGTCGAATCGCAAAACAGCGAACAGCCTGCTCTTCAACCCAATTTAGGCTCCTGGAACCGCATTTTTGGCCTCATTTTCATTGATAATCCAATAGGAACCGGATTTAGTATCGCTTCGAACCCTGAAGAGATACCGAGAGACCAGCACACTGTTGCTAAGCATCTCTTTGCTGCGATCACTGAGTTTATAGAATTAGACCCCGTGTTCAAGACTCGCCCGATTTATATAACCGGAGAGAGTTATGCAGGAAAGTATGTTCCTGCAATTGGTTATTATATTTTGAAGAAGAATATGAAGCTGCCTGTGTCAAAACAAGTGAATCTGAAAGGTGTTGCCATAGGTAATGGGTTAACGGATCCGGTGACACAAGTCAAAACTCATGCTCTGAATGCTTACTTTTCTGGATTGATCAATGAGATACAAAAAGGTGAATTGGAGGAAGCTCAAAGGAAGGCAGTGAAGCTAGTTAAAATAGGAAATTGGAGTGCGGCAACAGATGCAAGAACTAGGGTCTTGGATTTGTTGCAAAACATGACAGGACTAGCCACTCTGTATGACTTCACTAGGAAAGTGCCTTACAAAACAGGATTAGTTACTAAATTGATGCAACTAGCAGAAGCGAAGAATGCATTGAAGGCAAACGAATCTATAGTTTTTGAAGATTGTAGTGACACGGTGTGGACAGCATTGAGTGAAGATATCATGAAGAGTGTCAAGTATATGGTGGAATTCTTGGTTAAGAAGAGCAAGGTATTATTGTATCAAGGGCATTTTGATTTGAGAGATGGAGTGGTTTCTACTGAGGCTTGGGTTAAGACAATGAAATGGGAAGGGATAGGGAAGTATTTGACGTCTGAGAGAAAGATTTGGAAAGTGAACGGAGTGCTTGCTGGATACGTGCAGAAGTGGGGGAGTTTCAGCAATGCTGTGGTGTTGGGGGCTGGGCATCTCGTGCCTACTGACCAGGCAGTGCATTCTCAGGCTATGATAGAGGATTGGGTCCTGGAAAAGGGAGTCTTTGCTAATGAGCAGGGAAAGGATTCTGTGTCTGATTTCAGGGCTGCACTCTGAAATCAGTAGCTACTGCCACCATTGTTGCTGTAGCATTGACTTTGCAATGAATAAATTCCTCTGCTTTTTTTCCATCACTCATGCACAATCTAAATGATATTTTTCAGTTTACTTCATAGTCTCACTACACATTATATTGAGCCACAGACAACATCTCTTGATTTGTTTCCTAACTCCCTTTCGCAGCGTTACAAGGAATATTACCATACTGGGATTAATAACAAGCAGATTTTCAAATCATTGGAATAAAACGTCAGTCGAAACGAGATTTAAACTAGATCAGAATTTTACCTAATCATCCCTATAATCGGTTCTCTCTGGTCACAGCCGTATAAAGATGCTCAAGGCGATATAAGCTATCATCAACCGAGGAAGTCAAATGTTTTATCCTTTACCATCCGAGAATTTAAGGTTTCTCGGAAATTCGCCATTCAAAGAAACCGGAATCAGATTTTTAGTGCATCGTTGTATTGCATAATTGATTTTGAAATCTTAGATATGGTACAACTTTTTATTTGGCGAATTCAATTGCAGTGACTTCAATCATTTCATTTTCAGAGGCTTTTCTTAGTTTCTTGTGCAACAACTAGCATTTGCTGGAAACAATTTCTTAGCCAGGAGAGATCTCCATCTCTGACCTTATTTAAGAATACCAAAAACTTTTACATGTTTATTGTAACCAAATGAAATTCTAGAACTAATGGGCAAGCAAAATTATGACATCAAAAGCCAGAATATAGTTGGCTAGCTCCATTTGAAACCAAGGTTTTCATCATTTACACTTGGCTGCAGCAGATAGAGAGCTGAGGAATCTCAAGTTTTCCAAACATGAACGAACATTTCCCATAGCATGATACAATTCAACAATTAATGGCAAGCAAATGAGTTTTACAAATATTAAAATCAATTGGCAAACAAAATGAATTTTACGAATATTAAAACCATCTGCGAAGAACTATTAAAACACACTAAAAAAAAAAAAAAAAAAAAAAACAGAAATAGGTTCCCAAAAACTCGAGAGATTACTTGCCAACCAAAATAAGCTTTGATATAATTAGAAGGCAGCAACGCAAACAGGAAAAAAAGAAGAAGAAATTGAAATGTATGTCTCATGGCCAGTCCCAAATTGTAAAGGCAGCGACGCTGCTACACAAGGCAATGGAATATGAGACCACCCTTCAACGGAGGAGCTCCCGAAGGAGGACCTCAACGTGTCCGGACATTTATCTGTGACGTTTACTTTGGACTATGCAAACATTGAACTCGTTTGCTCCAAATCAAGTTAGGGATTCCTGGTCGAATCCCCCGTCACTTTCACTCTACAAAAGTTCAAATCCGGGGAACAACTTACACTCTAAACCCTTAAATTTTTTTTCGTTAAAAGAAAGTTAAAATAATACCTCAGATTAGCATTTTGGCACATTACTCATTGCAAACAACAACCCATGTAGCTCTACATGGTGCGCAAATTATTATCGTTGCAAGCTCATGCCGAAATTTTGTCTTCATTGGTACTTTAAAAAAAAAATCAAGCACGAAATACATAAAATTCAAAGATATGATCAGATGGGTTATGTAATGGCGTTTGGAGGCGGGCTTGTGAAGAAGGAGATAAGGGTTATGCAAAAAGAGAGATTTGGTCCAAGAAAACTCTGAACCCAAAAATCACTTTCATGAAAAACCTAACCAAGCACAAAACCCGTACTATGATGCCATCGGATTTTGATTTAAGGGCTGTAAAACAAGGCAGGGCATCCAGTAGAGAACCTACCGGTCTTTGAGAGCCATTGATTGATTCATCTTGCTCTCCCCTATTTGCCTCAGCCCTCTTACAAAAAATTATACAATCAAAAGGAAACTAAAGAAATGAAAACGAGTCGATCTCTCAAACCGAACGCGCCGCTAACACAATCCACGTTTTTGCGTAAAAGAAACTGTTCTCCAAACCCTAGGCGAGATATGTGGTGTATTTATAAAGATAGAGCATAGCGTGTAACTGTTGCCTTAGGTTTAATGGCATTTGTTTTGTTCCTGAATTATTAGGATAGTGAGATATTAAGACCTTTATCCTTAAATTATCTTATTTTTAACAAATATTGTTCTTCCATTTGATTTGACATAATTAGTGACCAAAAATCCTTTTAATAATATTTATTTTTGGATTTTTTGAGTCATTTTTTACATATACTAATCAAAATTTTGTCTAGTTAAAAAATAATTTCAAAAATTTTTTACATCAAGAATCATTTTTTAGTTTTATTTAACTATTAAATATTAACAAAATTGAAAAGGATATAAAATAAATTGGAAGGATTCCAATTTTTGTTGGAGGGGCTAAAAACATCATATCAATTTATGTGTTTAGTTTTATTATTATTCTCAAAATTTTCCATAGTTGAATGAATAACTCCAAACTAAATTTAAAATAAGTTAATTTTGAGAGCCATGTATGCAAAAATTTTGAGAATCACACAAAATTACAAATGATCTTCTTAGGACTTCCAAAAAAAGAAGAAGATAATTTCTGTTTATTTTCAATTGTTCATAATTATTGATTTTTTATTATTCATAAAACAAAAATAATTTATGACTTCAATTTTTTTTTTTGAAATTATCTTTGCAAATGGTTTGAATTTTCATTGGTATCTCAGGAAAATTTCAATTAAAAATATATTTTTTTAAAAAAATCAATTCTAATGATCAAAACAAATAAAGGTACAATATTTACTCGAGACATAGTAATTTAAAGATGAAATTGATCAAATTAACAGTTGAATGACAAAAAAATATCTTTAAGCCTTTTTTTATTTTTATACCGCAAAGCCAGAGCTTGGGGGAATTAATTATAGCTTAGTCCCTTGTTTAGTGAAACCAATTGATTAGTCCTCGTTTTTTTTTTTAAAAAAAAGAACTCCGGATTATCAATAACAATTCAACTTCCCAGCTAAAAAATAAAAAATAAAAAATCTATTCTACTTCCGTTTCTATAATTTAAAATTTTTAGATAACACCCTACAATTTAGAAAGATCCAATATTATTCTCAAAATCTGGTTTTTTTTTTTTTTTTTTTTTTTTTTTTTTTTTTTTTGAAAAATCTAAAGATTTTAGACTTGTGTCATTGTAAAATGTAACAGAGCGATGACTCTTAATTTATGGAGACGTTTAACTTGATCTTCAAAATTGGTTTTTATGTTTTAGAATTTGAAAACAAGAAGAAGCCCATTATGTCTATTAACAGGAAAAAATAAAAGAAATAGAAACCAACCAAATTGTCTCAGGAGCATAACGATGGAATTAGCTAAAACAAATTCTAGAATTTTCATAAAGAGAAACAAAGAGTAAATTATAAATTAGTCCTTCTAGTTTTGTAAAATGAATTAAATCTTTCTAATATAAAAAACTAATTACTTAGTCTCTTGACTAATAATAATCTAAATTAATTTAATATTATTTTTTCATCAGTATTTTTAGGATATCATTTATTTTTTACTTTTCCTATTTCTTGAAACAAAAAACAAAATAATTAGAAAAGGACACAAAATAGTTAAAAGTGACTAATTAATTAGTTTTTAAAACTAAAAAAAATCTATTCACATCATTTTTTAAAAAAAAACTAGAGGAACTAATTTGTAGCCTACTCAAGAAATGGATCGTTAGATGCACCCTCTTCATGTTGTATCAGAAACCAACGAACTATCAAGAAAAAAAAAAAAAAAGAAGAAGAAGAAGAAGAAGAAGAAGAAGAAGAAGAAGAAATATTGAAACTTGGCACCATATCAGATGGTGAAACAAACACAAAATCTCAAAAATCCTTCTTTTAAAAGTCAACTTTCCTTGTAGCGGTGCATATCAAATAATATCTAGCAATTTTGTTTAAATTTTGTCCCATCTATTTTTTTTTATTTTTTCTCTACTTTATTATTTAAATGGATATAACAATTAGATTTTCAAATATATTATTTTTTAATTAAATTATTATCAAAGAGTCAAAAACCACCACCTTCGCAATTTATTGCACATTCTAATGCGTTCCTAACATTTCTCTTGAAACAATTCCATGTCAGAAATTGGTTCTTTTATCACTAATTGAATTGATTGACAAACATTTGACTACATAATCAGATGCAATTGACAAAATTGAAAATACGGGGCAGATATTGACTTTTCAAGACAAGTAAAGTGACTAAATAAATTATTTCTGTCTATTTTACATGAATAGGTGCGGGCTCAAGAAATGGGCCGGGAAAGCGAAGCATTGTGGGTTTTATTATCATAATATCTCCCGCCTCTGGATACGAGCTCTCCCGTATTCTACACACACTGACGTTACAGTACGGTAGAGAAGAAGAAGCAAGGTATGCTTTCAGAATTCAAAAATTATCTTCGATTTCCTTTGGAAAAAAAAAAAATCGAAATCAGGTCATAAATTAGGTCTGTTTGAATGTCAATAGTGGTTAGAGATACTTTGCTCTTTCTAAAATTGTGATTGAATTGAAGTAAAGGTGTTTATTTCTTTCCTTGTTTTTCGTTTCTGCAGATTATATTGTGTAAATTACAATTAGGAATGACATGCTCATGTTTTGAGCTTATTTCTCATGGCACCGACTCTATCAGCTATGCAATCATTTGCTATTGTAAGAATGAGAATGATGCTACTCAGTTCTTCCCTCTTCTTAGTAAATTGCTTTTTAAATAATTATATAGGTTTTGTGATCAGATCCTTATCTTGATTACAAGTCTTTATTTATCATCTATTGATTAAAGATTCCGTTTCAGCGCTGTAGTGGAAAATGGCCAAGGACTAAAGTTTTCTTTAAGGCTGAGAGAGGGTATCGAAATGCTTTGGGTAGAAACATGAGGTACTCACTGTATTCTTATTTTATTCTGCTTAAAGGATGGGGATTGAGAATATTTACAGTTTTCTGAATTTGGCTTTTGAGTTGCAGGTTTACTAATTTCATCTTCAGGATATCATCTCGATCGAAGCATACATTTGTGGAAAGGTTGTTTGAAGAAGTAGACCAGCATGGCAGACAAATCACATCAAATGGGTCAAAATTGCTTAATAAGGTAAACGAGTTTGTTGACAGATGAGTCTTCCTTTTAATTTGCTCTCTTTGTCAATTTTTTTTCTATCTACAATATGGTCACTGCAAGGGACTTTTTCTTCAAGATGATGTTTAGTATTAGCAAATCTTGGATCAGTAATGATTAGTTATAGAAACTTGATGGCAAAGAAATACTCTGGTCATCTGTGACAAAAACTTTTAGATGTATTAGCAATAAAGTGTGATCCCATTCAAGTAGAAGGGATGAAAAACGTGACACTGTGAATAAAAATGACTTTAGTTGATCATAGAAAGCAGATAGCAATATTTGAACTGAAATAGGAAACTTCACTTAAAGGCCATCTTCCTCTTTTCTGGAAGTTTCTTTTTTCCTTTTTTTCATTTTTTATCTGTCATATTGTTTGGATATTGTTACAAAGTTTTGTAATTAAGTATTCAGACTTGATGATAATTCTTACTTTTATTGATTCCTTTTCTTTTGAACTTTTTTAAAATATCGTTGGCCCTTTCAAGGCAAGGTTATTATTAGTTTAATTATGTTAGAGATCACAGCTAATAGCTGAGAAATTGATCATGAAGATTTCCAGAGGAAAAGTGCCTAGCAGTTTGCAATCAAGAGGCAGCATAAGTATGGAGCAATCATTCTTGTTATTAAAAGTTACTCCACCCTTTTGATTTAGGTTTTGTAATTCCATGAGGTCTTCTCTAGCGTAATGATGTAATCATTCTCTATGCTCTTGGAATATTAATGCTTCGTCTGCATGGTCTTGGGTGTTATTTAGCTCTTCATTTCAGACGTTCCTTGACTTGCAAATTGCTTTCTTGCAGGTATCAGCGCTCATGGGTTATGATGGTTTTCGTGATTTAATCGAGAATGAAGCTGAAAAGCAATTTAGTGGGAATGCCAAAGATGCTATGGATGATTTTGATGTCTCCTTGGCTTGTAAAAGATTTCCATCCATTGTTTTGGGTAGTTTTCCTCCAGTGGAACTGTATGATGAGTCTGAAATGAACAGCCTTTTAGCAGTTACAAGTCTGGAAGGATTTCTTCCAAATGGTATGGGTGTGAAATGTGTTGATCCAGATACTATTCATGAACAGTGGGCTGCTCCACACACCCTTTCAAATGTGAACTTTTCCATGCCAAAAGAATTAAGAGATGAAAGTTCATACATAACAAGTGAATTTAGGGAAGAAAATATGTACACATCAAAAGAATTAAAAGGAGAAAATTTTCACAGTTTGCCTTTATATTCTCCGGACATGACTTTGGAAACTGAAGAAAAATTAGGTCATAAAATTGGCATGGAAGAATCTACTACCAAAGTGGAGCCTGAATCACAAGTAAATGTTGCATATCTTGATAAACCTATCAGTTGCCTACCTGGGCTAAGTACTAGGCAACGCCGTCAGCTGGAAAACTGTGGTTTTCACACGGTGGGTTTGTTGTAGATAATGTGAAAAAGTAAAGTTCTATTATGTTCTTATAGTTGAAATAAGACAGGGGCTCACATTCATGCAGTTGCGGAAGTTGCTGCAACATTTCCCTCGAACCTATGCTGATTTGCAGAACGCACATTTTGGAATCGATGATGGACAGTATTTGATTTCTGTTGGGAAAGTAACATCTTCCAGGTATTGAGGTATCGTTCCTGAAAATTTTTGCTTTCCCATTCCTTATGCTGGACAAACCAAAATGTCAGACATTTTTCAGTGCATCAACATATTTTGGCTACTGGACTGATGATTAAACTGCAATTAGATGTTGGAAATTCTAATCTTTGGAAGCTTGAATTTCTACTGAAACAAGAATAAAGGATTTAATTGTTTGCCGACTGCCATGTACTAAATGCTAACATAGTGAATACTGTGAATGATGATAAATGCCATTATTTCGCTATTTATGAGGAGAGAATGGATTGGAGATAATGCAAAACTTACTTGGCTCACGTTCCAAACTTTTGGAGGGATATGTGCAAGCCTTTTGTTCGTTAGAAGTACTGGATGATGAGTGCAATTCAGAAGATGGAGATATCGGAAAGCTTTCTCACTCACATTCTGTAGTTAAAATTATTTATGCATTATTTTGCAGAGGAACTGCAGTTAGCTGTTACTTGCAATTAAGGGTATTTGTTGCGTCTACTCTTCAATGAAGTATTCTTGTTTTTTTTTTTTTTTTTTTTTTGGGGGGGGGCGGGGGCGCGCTAATAATATCCTGTTGTCTGGTCTTGTGTAATTAAAGTTTTAAACCTGTTTTTAAGGACACTATAGAACTTAGCATAAGAAATGAGAACAAGGAAATATTTAGTTATAGGTATTGAACTTCCTGTTTTTGGTTGCACATAATATCCACTCTCTTCATATGCACATATATATGTTCATGTCTAACTATGCATATTGTCTGTGTGCTTGTCTGTTGATGCCTTGATCATCAATGAATGGGAGGTTTATGTATTGATATTATTGACCGTTGCTTTTGCAGGGCTGTTAAAGCCAGTTATTCATTGGCATTTGCTGAAGTGATTGTGGGTTGTGAGATTGTTAATAATGAATCTAAGCCTGTGATTGATAACAATAATACTGGAGGAAAAAAAACTATTTATTTACACCTTAAGAAATATTTTCGCGGTACTCGTTTTACTTGTCTACCTTTTCTTAAAAGACTCGAAGAGAAGCACAAATTGGGAGATGTTGTCTGCGTTAGTGGTAAGGTGAGTTGGTTTTCTCTGCTGGATGGTCTTTTTTTCTTTGCTTTGATCAAGTATATTCAGTTATTCTCATATTGTTTCGTCAAACAGTGTTATCTTGAGCAAGGGCAACTTGTAACAAGTCCCATCACTGTGTGCGTCTTCTTCTTTTGGCCTACTAATCCTATGAAGTTCTACTTTGCATAAGACATTTTACTTATATTTCTAAGGAGGGATGCTGTTGTCGTTTGATCTTGTAGAATATTTTACTTCAAGTTGCATATGTGCATATTTTATGAACTTACTTTTCATGTTGGTGTTGGGGTGAAAAAAGCATTTATAAACTTTTGGATGCTGTTTTTTCTTATTTTTGGTTTGAAATCTTTTATGGAAGTTGTCCTTTCCAGAAACTAGCTTTTGAGGTCTTTTTGGGACTATGATAGCTCTTCTGGAGAATGATTGAAAGTGAATGTGCCTGGTGCGATATATTCACTACTTAAGTAATTTGCAATAATGAACATGACCACTCAGAAATGATTTATGTAATTAATGCTGGAAACTATGTACATAAATGAGGTCTACTGTTATAATAACACAAATTTGTAAAACTGTTAAGGGGATTTAAAGTAGCAAGAAATGACAAATGTTGAACAGTTGGATTCCAAATAAACAAAAAAATCACAATATGATAGATTCTAAAATTTGTTCAAGTAAACATATCAAACCCTCGCCTTATCGACTTCTCTAACAAGCCCATGTATATTGCTTTAATGTCAAATTTAATATGGCCAAATATCACATGCTTAGAAAATGAAGAGACTATAAAAAATTAGCTTTTTTAACCAATCTTGTTTGTATGATATACAGACACAGCTTGTAACATATCGCTACATGCAACTCCAGTCTGCTAGGACTGTTTTTCCAAAAAAAGATTTTAAAATCACATCAATATTTGTGATTTATCAACTCTTGAATTGTTTAGTTCCTGCAGCATTCACAATCAGCTTTAACAGTTTTCTGCAAAAGCATGATTTCTTCAACAATAACAGACACAAAATAAGGTCACATTCTAAAGTGCAATATCTACTAAAGTTTTCACTTTATGTAATGTATGAATGTACATTGCACTCGCACATACATTTAATCTATTTGTGTGTATGCCTTTCCCTTTTCTTTTCTGTGATCTTTTCCCAAAGAATCTTTTCTTGTACATTTTCTCTTGGATTGAATTAATCAAGATAAATGAGAGGAAAAACCTGAAGAGTAAAGCCTTTTTTCCACTTCAATTTCTTTTTTTCCCTTTTTCCCTTTATATTGATATGGATACTACAATTCACCTCATATTATTTGATTATGCATTTTATGAATTGGCTCTCTATTTATATTAGAAAACATGGTTACATAATATCGCTTCCCTTAACCAACTTCGTTTCTAGGCTGTATAACCTTTTGTTTTGCTTGTGAAATTCTCCCATCTACTTACCATGTTAATTAGTGGATTATAGTAGCATGGGCCAGTATGAAAGGGGATTCTGTCCTCCTGTCTATTCCTACTTTCTTAAAGCTCAGAATTTAGCTTCTTTCATACTTTACCATTTCTTTCTTTTCCTTATTGTTTTTGGTTTTATCATCCCTTGTATTATACTCTTTTTTGCAATAGAAAATTTATATTTTTACCCATTCCAAAAATGATAGTTTGTGAACTGGATATCAACCAAGATTGTGCCTCCAACGCAATGCTGAGTGTATGCTGAATTTTCTGGAAAAGGGTGTTGGTAGTCAGATCTTCTTTCAAGGAAATGATTTCTTAGACCTACTGAGCTTGGTCATTACTGCTGAGGTTGCACATATTCTAGTGACTGTCATTCTATAGTGGTCTATTTAGTTATAGCAAATATTATATTGCGTCAAATGATTCTTCAATTAGTGCATCAGGATCAGCAATGACTAAGATAATTAGATTCTTTTATAAAAAAGAAGTGATTATATTTTTCTTTCATATGAAATGATGTATGGTTCCCCTTTAATTTTGTTCTCAAGATGTTTGATTTATTTATTGACATTATGTTTTGAGTTTTGGGGATTTTTAGACTTGATGCATGAATGTGTTGCAATGTAGGTTAGAACCATGGGTAATAAAAATGATCACTATGAAATAAGAGAATACAATATTGATGTACTGAAAGACGAAGAAGATTCATCTTTGATTGCGGAAGGGAGGCCCTATCCTATATACCCTTCAAAGGGAGGCTTAAATCCTGATTTTCTTCGGGATACTATTTCAAGGTTTGTCGGATACCATTTTTTGTAGTTTGGCATTTCTTGTCATTCAAATACAACCCCTTTTCTCAGTTCCTGTTGCTTCTATGATTAAGGCTAATCCTTATTTAGGATATTGTGTGTGTGCATGCTGTTCAGTTGACATTAATTGCAAAATATAAGAAAATGAGGAATTTGTTATTAATTTTTTTTTTTTTTGGCTATTTATAAAATTTCCTCTTATCTAACGAAAAAAAGAAGATCAGGATTAGTGTACTCCAAGATATGAACCACAGTTGTTGACAAGCAATGTTGAGTCTTCTGTAGACGTTAGAAAAGTATATGTTTTGACTTTTTTTTTACTAACAATTTTTTACATTTGCTGATCAATCAAACATTGCATGTATCTGTTTGAATCATTCTTCTCCATAATTCCTTGAGATTTTGAACAAAGTGATGCAGTGTGCTATTAGCCCTTTTTTCCGACCACGCTGCTGCAGTACTGCTGTGACTTTTTTTCATTAATAGTGTATAGAATATATGTGCTTGAGGTGTGACATTAGGAAAGTACTTAGGAAGCTGTGTACCAGCAATCATTCTTCTCGTATTTTGTTCCATGGCTTAAAAAAGTAATGGAATTAGTTGGATTTTGTTCTCTAAAATGTGTTTACAGTGGTAATAATGAAGCTTTCTTCCAAAAAATAAAAATGTATACTCCCCCTCTTAACCATGGTGGGTGGTTCCATAAGTTTTTTTCTTTTAATTGGCACCACTTAGACTATACTCTTTTAAATACGACAATCTTACCCCTACAGGCATTTTCTTTGAATTTAGCAGTTTTATGCTTCTTTGCAGTTGGATTAGCATCATAGTATACAGGAAAGAAGTTTACTCATTAGTTTAATCTGAAAGAAAACTTGATCACCAAAAAAAGGGATGGTTAAGGGGTGCAAGCTAAAAATTTTTAGTTTATGAGATCTGTGGCAAAACAGCTGTATTTTAGAGGTCTCTACATGTTCTTTACCTTTCTCTTATGTTTTCCAGAGTTGTACGAGTTCTGCTTGCTGATGTTGATCCTATTCCAAAAGAAATCATTCAGGACTTTGGACTTTTACGTCTCCATGAAGTAAGGAAGTTTTTTAGAATATGTTTCAGTTGTTGATCCATTATTGCATATTTGTTTCTTCATATAACGAGAATGACTCTTGATGTTACTAATGATGATATGCTTGATTTGCTGATACTTTGCCTATGTTGTCCTCAATTTTTTATGTAAATTAGGTGGTTTGTTGCTCCTCAGTTCTTTCTTCTTCCAAGGTCTTGAGCTTTTATGAGTTTTGGTCATTGAGCATTGTGGGTGTTGGAGTTCCTTAAGGGACTTGAATGCTATTAAATAATATTTCAACAATAAAATAAATTGCATTGTAAACATTTAACTGTGGCAGTACCTGTATTTGTGTGCATAAACATGGCATTTGTGGGAAATATTTCCTGTCAATGCTTGTTTATTTTGATGAACCAGAATGTTTTTTTCTCAAAAAAATGTAGGCATATATTGGGATCCACCAGCCAAAGAATGCAGAGGAGGCTAATTTAGCTCGCAAAAGGCTTAATTTTGATGAGTTCTTTTATCTACAGGTGATCTTTAATTTCATGATACTATATGGTAGATGAATTATTAATTGTATTGCTGTCGGGCATAATGTATTCACTTCACATCATTATTTTTCATTTTGTACATGATTCATTGCAGTAGCTGGCCATTTCATAAAAGGCAGTGCAGTTATGACCTGGAATGCATGCTATTTAGTTGGTGATAATGCTCCTGGTGACATTATCACAGGATTATTTCTGAATTTTTGTTTACAGCCATTGTCTAAGTTGCATCTTTTTCTCTTTTCCTTTTTATTAGCTGGAAGGTTATTATCAATTTTACCTGAAGCTTGTTGTTCCTGCCTTTTCCTTGTATTGCAAGTTGTTTTTCGTTGATGTCTTGTAGCTTTTCTTTTTATTAATTCTAGTATATCACTCTCTGCAGTTGGGGCGCTTATTCCAAATGCTTCAAGGTCTTGGTTCACGAATGGAGAAAGATGGACTGCTGGACAAGTACAGAAAACCTGAGTTAAATGCCGTTTATATGGAAGAGTGGTCTAATCTCACCAAGAAATTCGTGAAGGCTCTTCCATATTCCCTTACTCCTAGCCAGCTAAGTGCTGCTTCACAAATTATATGGGATCTGAAGCGACCAGTTCCCATGAATCGACTCTTGCAGGTTTTTGATTTTAGATGAATATTATGATGGTTTTATCAATAAACAATGTATAATGATGTTCTGCTTTGAGCTTATCCAAAGATTTATTATTGTTTATGGGTATTGAGTGATTAGATTCTATGGTACTTTGTGGCATGTGATTAATATTATTGAACACTGAAAAAGATTTCATTTGTCAAATTTGATGTTTGTTTCAGGGTGATGTTGGATGTGGGAAAACGATTGTAGCTTTTCTGGCTTGTATGGAGGTTATTGGTTCTGGTTATCAGGTTGGCCACTTCATGAACATATTATGTAATATGTATCATTCCTTAATTTTTTTGGATTGTTCTCACATATTTTTCTATGTTGACTGCTTTGATAGTTAACAATTTGGAATTTGTATCTTCTATCTGTTGCATATATATAATGAGGTTTCTGTATATTTTGTGCTGCTCTCCAGTCTCGAGTGATTTCTCCCTTCACCCATGTGTAGATTTGGTTAGTAATAAAAGTTACATTTGGGTTTACTCTTTTCTTTTTGCCTTTTAACGTAGGCAGCTTTCATGGTTCCAACTGAGTTGCTTGCGATCCAACATTATGAACACTTGCTTAATTTGCTCGAGACTATAGAGGAAGACCAGTCAAAGCCTTCTGTTGCTTTATTAACAGGATCAACCTCAGTGAAACAATCGCGGATGATTCGTAGGGTATACATTTTATCAAGTGCTTGTTTGATTTTTTTAAAGATAATCTTTGAGATTCTTTTTCATTGAATTAATTGACAGGATCTCCAAACTGGAGACATCTCCATGGTCATTGGAACCCACAGTTTGATATCTGAGAACATAGAATTCTCTGCTTTACGCATTGCTGTAGTAGACGAGCAACAACGCTTTGGTGTGATCCAGAGAGGAAGGTTTAATAGTAAGGTTGTCTGCCCTCCTTGTTCTAGTATGTTGTCATTTTACTGTGTCTGTTATTTCATGTCTTTTGACGTTGCAATCCTTTTCCTTTTATCTACTAGCATTTTTTCGTGGTTACTACTTCCTTGTAGTGAAGGTTTAGTCAAACAACATGATGATTTGGTTTCTTTAGTTTTCCTTGGTGTTCAATTTGTCTGGTTATTGAATGATTGGTTCTTTCATGATGATTCGTTGAAGTTTTACCCTTTTGGAATGAAATTGATTTCTCAAACTTAGTGGTTCTAGAACTCCAATGTTCATGTGTGCCTTAAGGATGGAAAAATTCTGCTCTTTCTTGTGAATTGATCTTTTCCCTGGGAGTAATTCTTTACCGTAAAAGCTCTGCACTCTTATAGTTTAACATCAATCATTTTTTATGTTAATCAAGTTGGTGGTAGGGAAGTTACTATTGGTGAAGAGGCAAACAGGCAACCGTTCTGAGTTGTCAGTTTAATTGTCTTATAGAAAGTATGAAGCTAAATGGGAAGTGGTCGTTCCCCTGGACCCTGCAGAACTGATCCACAAAATTAAGTGGAGGATGGAAGGAAAATTTGGCAATTGGATAGATGGTTTTTATCTTACATCCTATGTGATTGATTTGTCAGGAGTTTAGTTTTATTTATGGATTAAACATGCAGTCATCTTTCTCTGTCCTTCCTCTTTGGATAATCAAACCTGGAAAGGGGAAAAATACAATCTCCAGTCTTGTTCTTAAATTATGCTTAGACCTTAACTTTTAATTTATCCTCCCCCTTATCATGACGTAAGAAATGCGGGCGGTGTCATTAACGGAAAGTGGATTTTGTAAATAACACTGATATATTTGTGATGTTAACATTTTGAAAGATGAATATCTTAATGCATGCTTTTAAGTTGTTTTTTGCTATTTTTTGTAGTGATGAAAATAATTCTCTATCATTCATTTTAACCCAGAGATAATGCTGCAATTTTTGCAACTTGTAGTTTCTTTATCTTTCTGCAATTATTTTATAAGACATGTGGTTGAGGCATGGAACTTAATCCCTGCAGCTATACCATAGCCCTCTAAGTTCAAGAATGTCAGCATCCAGCACAGATGTGTCTTCAAAAGGTGATGTCCATATGGCCCCACATGTTCTTGCCATGTCTGCCACTCCCATCCCAAGGACACTTGCTCTGGCATTATATGGGGATATGTCTTTAACACAAGTAAATCTTTTGCCTCTGCAGTTGTTGGCATGAGCTCTAATCTTGTCATCTGGAGCATCTTTTTAAAACTTTCCTTAAATCTGTATTTTATAATGTTGGGCATAAGTTAGCTATATCTTGGTTATGGACAAGGTTATCTAGACTTTATATATACATCTTTTAAGACCAATTTCGAGCAAGTTTAATGAAAAACAATATTTGGCCGCTAGTCATGGTTTTCTCCTCCTAAAGATTTTCTCCTTTTTACTTATTTTGTTTCTTTTTCTGATTACTAACAAGGGGCATTGCATACTTCATTCATGTAATTCATAGCAGTTTGAGTAGACAGCTGCTTGCATATTTAAGTTCGTATTTTGGAGTCTTATGGTTGAGTTCAAGCATATATTTTGAATTGAAGATGTAGAAATTTTGTTTTTTTTTTTTTTTTTTTTTGGTGATTTTTCCTGAATAAAGTGGCTATGCATATGATTTTTGGGGCCCAGGAATTCTTATATTAGATACGTATATTTTTTTTAGCATGCATTTACAAGCTGTTAATGGATTTAAATGAGTTCACTTCTTAAAAGGTCACTGTTTGGTTTCTTTATTGACAGATAACTGACTTGCCTCCTGGAAGAATTCCGGTCGAAACATATATTTTTGAAGGAAATTATGATGGCTTTGAGGATGTCTACAAGGTTTGGAACTGTTTTATTTTAACCTGTCTAATGTACTTTATAGTTTATAACATGTCTCAAGTATTTTGTAACAACTTTATGATATGAGCAGGATGTTTTAAGGCTTGGGACTTTTTTCTAATCTTTCTAGAGACTTTATAACAGATCTAATGACACAATCAGATGTAACATGTATTTGGTGCCTTATAACATGTAGCATTTAGGGGAGTGTCCTTGGATGTTTTCCAGAGAGATTTGAGACAGCTTACCCTCTTTATTCCATTCCACTTTCTTTTCATACTAAGATTTTCTTATAAATGATAATATCACCTTATGCAATAAAATTGCTTGTACAAAATTTGACCCTTGAAATTCTGACAGTTCACCCAATCGGCACACACTAAATCACCACAAATATCGCTGGAGGCCTTTTATAATACAACACACGCATCATGGAGAATGCCTGTTTGAACTCTTTTGCAATAGCAGTTCATTACTGTTGTCATTTCCTTTTTTTTTCCGGTTCTTTGGGGGATTGACCAAACAAAAAACAACAATGAGATGAACGATCAAGAGGTGGAAATGAATAGACTTGCTTGTGAAATTTCCAAAACCCTCCAAAGTACATGCCCCATCGAACAGTCCGTGAAGAGAAAGATAATGTTTAAGAAAGATCCATCTCTCATTTAAATTCTCAGTCAAAATTAAGTATAATATAAAAGATCCCAATTCTTTTTGTACTATCTTGCTATGTTTTTCTTCCAATTACTAACTTATCTGCTTTATGGATCTTACTATGTTCATGGTTTGCTATGTTGTTTTCTAGGATCTTTAAAGTGCAAACCATAGCTTTATATATGTCAGTTGTAGTAATTCAATTAAGAACGGTCTTATTTGCAGTACCATCTGTTAATCCTACTTCATAACTTATGCAGTGACTAAACTGATCTTTGTTTAAAGTGTCCTTTAATTATTATAAATCTAACCTAAGTTTTACTTAAAATCTAAAATAAACATGCTAGTAACTATCTTCTGTCTTTTGGCACAAGTTATTCATGATGATCTCTACACTAAAAAATTTCAGATATGGCAATCCTTACGAAATTTTTTAAAGATGTCCAATCCCTTTGTTGTGAAAATAACTTTTGGATATATCCTATATTGAATTAGATTTATGCAGTTCTGTAGAATAACATTAATGTTTAGCTATCTGTATAGGATTAAACATAGACGAAGTTATTTATTAAGAGATAGATTGAAATGGCAGATTAACTTTATAAATTTTTTTATATATAAAAAATAAAAAATAAAAAACAAAAAAGTAATGCAAAATATCAAATTTTATTGCAATCTTAAAGTATCATGCTTGGGTTTCCTTGTTGTATGTTTACTTTAAAGACCTTTTTTTGCATTTGATATCATGAATTTTTGAATTTAAACAAAACTTCGAAGAGACTAGATTTGTTAACTCCAAAAAGCTGTGGAGTAGCTTAGCAATTCAAGGAGTGGGAATAAAGTCACGCTTCTGTTAGTTGCTTGTTGTCTCTTTCTCTCCCTCCTTTTGTTGTCAATATTATTTGATTTTCGAATTGATTTTTCCAGATGATGCGAGATGAGTTAGAGACAGGGGGGAGAGTGTATCTTGTCTACCCAGTCATTGAACAATCAGAACAACTGCCTCAGCTACGTGCTGCTGCTACTGATCTTGAAGTTATATCTCACAGGTTTCAGGGTTACAACTGTGGGCTGTTGCATGGAAAAATGAAGAGTGATGATAAAGATGAAGCATTGAAACGATTTAGATCCGGAGAAACACACATACTGCTTTCCACTCAAGTAATTGAGATTGGTGTTGATGTTCCAGATGCATCTATGATGGTTGTTATGAATGCTGAAAGATTTGGAATAGCTCAGTTGCACCAACTTAGAGGACGGGTTGGACGTGGGGCAAGGAAGTCCAAATGTTTATTGGTGGCATCTACAACGAGCAGCCTTGACCGTCTGAAAGTGCTGGAGAAGTCATCAGATGGTTTTTATTTGGCAAATATGGATCTTCTTCTCCGCGGACCTGGCGACTTGCTTGGGAAAAAGCAATCAGGACATCTTCCAGAGTTTCCTATTGCCAGATTGGAGATAGATGGGAATATTTTGCAAGACGCACATGCTGCAGCACTGGTATGTCATTTCTCTGAAGCCTTTCCATTAATTTTTTTTTCAATCTTTATTTAGAATAAATTGTATATTTCTTCCTATAATTATTAGTTAGTAGTTTCTTTTGGATGCTTGATAACTTCTGTTAGTAGCATAAATTGTTTGCGTAAACTTCCCTTATTCTCTATAGCTGGCACTAAAAACAAAGTATATTCTATTGGATCTTTTTACCAATTAGAAGTTAAAGGGTTGGGCCCTTAAAAGAGTAACATTGCACCAATACTTCTAGGGACTAAAGTGCACACAGTGCAAACTATAGGGAACCAAAGTCACCTTTAACCTATGTTTTTTATTCCTCATGAGCATTCTTTGTTACAATGATAGAATGCAAAAGCATAATGAGGTCATTTACTTGTGTGTGGTGCAATTGTAATTGTAATTTTCTGTGCTTGTCTTTGTTGGCATATATTTCTAGACATGTTTTGGTGGGAGTATGCTAGCTATTGGGTCTGCATGTTGCTGTGGGGTGCGTATTCATCAATTTAGAAACCACTCTGCTTATTTACATTATTTAGTGACACTTGTTAATTATCTTTTCTATAATGTTAGTGAAGTTGTTTCATTAGTTGGAGATATGCAATCCCTTTTTATGTTTTAGCATGAGATACACGTTACTCTTCAAAAAAGATCTCTGTCCCATTTCCAAGCATATCTACAATTATAACAGTTTGCATCTCAATATGGTCCACCATACATCAAATGTACCATTGCTAATAAGATCTATCCAATAAAATTACTTTTGAATTAAATCCCGTTCAGAATGGATGAATAGAAGTCTAAAATCTTTGTTCAAGATTGACCATCTTTTTGCTTGAAAACTATTGTATTTTACATTTTGCTCCCGACTCCCGTTAAAAAATGTTGCATATGAGGGCATATGTGTGTGATGGGAAAATGTTACATAATTGAAAGTAAAATTATAAACTAAATTATTTTATTTTGCACTTGATCCTGATCTTTTAATAAATTATGAGGGGGCTGGACATAATTTTTTTACTTTCGTTGCTTTTTAATAATTTACGAGCACAATAATTTTTAAATCATGCACATTAAACCAATTTTTTACCAAGTCTCTATCTACTTTAAACTATGATTTTTTTTTTTTTTTAATGGAATTGTGAACAATTTGTTTAGAGTAGTGCAACTTATGTGCTTGATTTTGGTCTTCTAATGTTTAAATTTATTTTCATATTTTTTAATAAGAATATAATATGATTTCATGAATGTCTCGTTCAAATAGGTCTACAGAGAATTTTAGGAAAACACCAACGAAATAAAATAGAAAGTTTGGTGCCCAAATTGGGGGAAAAAAGAAGAAAAGTAATAATAATTAAAACAAAGAAAATGAGAGGAAACCAACAACGAACTCTTGTGGCATACTTGACCGGCCAACAGTGCAAACAATGAGTTCCACTATTCCTCGTCATTTCCTTTCCTTCGTTTTTCTTGCAAATTCTCTCTTCATGACTGGCCAACATGAAACCGAGCAGTGTTCAGGTAACATGGTCCATTGTGATATTTTATAGTAGATATGCTGCAGTGCCTTTTTTTTTTTTTTTTTTCTCAATTGTGGGTGGTGTTTGCTCAAAGGTGTTTTCTCTTGGTAGGCAAAAATCAATGTTAGTATGGCCTTAGTTTGGCATCAATATTTCTTCATAAAATTTTGGAAGGGAAACATGGTCCATGTACTGTTTGTTAATGACTGAAGTAGATTTGTCTATTTTGCTTGCTATAATATGCAAAACAGGGATTATTTGGCCTGCTACAGGCTCCAGTGTAAGCCACGTCAAATCTGGAACAGGCCTGTGTCAATAAGTTTTTAAATATGTCGATCTGATGTGATCTTTAAATGCTGATGGTAACCAAAAGCTCAAATTTAATCACTTCCAAAAGTTCATTGCATTCATTTGACTATATAAAAGCATCTGTTTGATTTCATCGATTTATTGGTTCCAATTTACCACCAACATTTCTCTTGTACTTTCAAAATTATGGCTGATTGATAGCTGTTTGTGTTGATTACATCTATACTTTGTTTATACGCAGAAAGTTCTTGGTGATTCTCATGAATTGGAGAGATTTCCAGCACTCAAAGCAGAGCTTAGTATGCGACAACCACTATGTCTTCTTGGGGATTGAGATGCAGAGATTTAATTATGCTCAACTTCTATTCTAATTGGAAACTCCTACAACAAGAATTGATGACCCTTGGAAAAAAAGGGGATAAGCCTTATCACCAGCGAGTGCACCAGATACATTATGAAGGCTATAGTTTCTGCATCCAAGTTGAACCAAGCTTTTGCATCAACCATTGTATGTAGGCCAAATCTTTGCAGTTTGTCTTTAGGCGAACAAAGTGATTTACGTTTTTGGCATCTGTATTTTCATGTAACTTGCGCCTCTGCTGTAATTGTTCCATTGATAGTTTCAAATTACTTTGTTGGTTATTTTTGTGTTCTTTGAGAATGCTATGTTGGGAAACTAGTACATCTTTGCCTTTCCTTTTTGGCTAGAAGGGGCCTTTTTCAGCCCCATGAAACTCTTTCGCCTCATTTTAGCTATGATTAGTTTTTCACTTTTAAGCTCTGCGATAGCTAAGCTGAACGCCAGGGCAATAACTAGCTTCAGGGACAGTGTCGATGGGCCAGACATTTAAAAATGGAACAAGGTTCAAGGTAATTTGACTCAAGAAATCAATTTGTAATGAAGGTCACGTAATCCTGACCTGAACGAAGGTAAGTTTTAACCCAAAAACACACTTTTAATCGTTGAGCCACCGTCTCCCCAGTTTAGCGCAGAGTGCGAAAGGCCAAGAATTGATATTTCTACTGATTTCTTTGATCTTCGTTTGGTCTTCAGCTTCGAATGACTAGAATAGGACATTTTGCTCAAATGGGAGCCCCGGGTTAGGAGAATGGGAAAGCTCGTTTTTCCAGATGGAAAGATCAATGAAAAGTGTCTAGGTAACTAATGCGAGGTAACTTCGTCCATTATTTTCATATTCATGTTAGAACTCAGCATTCCCCATCTAAAAGGCAGTCAGGCAGGTAAATTTTATTTTATATTTTATATTTGCACACAAAATTGCAGTTTCCAATGAGGCTAAGAAGAAAAATAAGCTATCCTATTGGATAAAAGCCCGTTAAGCTTGTGAAGACATGATAGAATTTGATTGGTTATTGGTACTATCCGTACCTAAAATCTATTATTCAATTTGTGAGAGTTGAATCATATAAATTATCACTCACCGCGAGGAAAAAGTTTCTCTGGGCACAAAAGGAATGTGCTGGAAATTTGGAACTAATCATACCAAGTTTACTTTGATCAGAAACTTCTATTTGTGTGGTTGTTCAAATTGACGAGATGATGGCAATAAAGAGATAGACATCAATTGATTGTAAGATTTACGGTTTTGTTTTTGTTTTTATAGGTTTTATGTTTTCTTTTATTATATTGTTTTTATAAGTAAAACACCCTAGCATCTAATTATAAAAATAATAATATAAAGAAAAGTAAGGAAAGATATGTTTCTTTCATAATCGATTTATAATTTTTCTTCCCCTACTTTTTCTAAAACAAATCCTTTACGTTTTATTTAAAGTTGGAAAAGAGTTGTTTGATTTGTAAGTCAGAACAAACGAGCTATGGTGTGGTTGTGTGACTTTTTTCGTTCTTATATTATCTTATTAAAAAAAAGACAGGCATTTTATCTCTTGAAATGTTAAGAAACATCCTGTCGGCAAGCACATAGTTTTATGTCAGATTTGCAATGATCACAGTGAAAATGGGAACGACCCTCGTAAAGCAAAACGCTACTTCTGTGGTCTGCCTAATACCAGAATTCTAATCAATCCGCTTAAGGTATGATTTGCAACAACAATAATATATACGAACATCGGCCCCACTTGCTATCCACTGAGATTACAAGACATGGTACGTTCATGGACTACCCAATCAGCAACAGCAAAGCCACAAAAGCGACAACCAGACAAGTGGGGGCCCACTTATAGTTCCCTACCCAATGATCGAGATGGGGTCCACAGGTGTTCAATGTTCCATGAGATGTCCATAACCTAATCATCAAGATTGGGTCCCACAGTAGCCACGCTTTTGCCATATGATTCCTCGCTTGTGTCTTTGCCCGTGCGTGTGGAGGGCGTGTAAAATATGGTTTCACTTCGCTGATCCATCGGTCATGAGTCATGACATGATCTGACATTTTTCTTTACTTATTAGCATGAGAAGGATGATTGAATTAGCTTCCACGCGTCAAAACTAATTTATATTCGCATACCTCAATTGCGTTTTACATAAATCATGTGTACGTAGAAATCATTATTTTTCTATTTTTAGTTTTTAGAATTTGAATCCTACATGATAATGATAATACGCATAATAAACTCAATTATTAATTTAATTATGCTAAGTTTATAAAGATTATTTAACATCTTTTTTTTTAATTATCAAAACCAAAAGCTTTACGGCTTTGTTGCTCAATTATGCTTGCGATTTATTATTTATGTCTCCTCTTCCTTCATTCTCTTTACTCTTTCTTAATAAGAAAAAAAAAAAAAAGAAATCAAATTATCCATGTATCTTAATCATCTAGGATTTTGAAACATTTCAAAATATGCTGCTGATGTTGGAAAATCATTAAAAAAAATTAAAAATAGTATCTGCTTATTCTTAAGTGTGAATCTTGAGCTCTTTAGAACGATTATCCATTATTTTAAAATTTTGGTCATTTATTTGTTTTATTTTAATTCGAATTAATGATCACACATTATTGTTTTTTGGGAACTTTATTCTCATTATCAGAACCAGAATTGAAACCACCAATTTTTATCACTTGCATCCTAAATTATGTAAGTCCATTCATAAACTAAATGAGATTCAATTTAACCAATAAATTATTAGTCTAGTGATAGACGAGTTGATCCTTAAATAAATTTTATGTTAATATATACATTTTGAATTTTGAAGTCGTACTTGTTGAAAAAAAATGTTATCGTTCCATCTCCGAATATGATTATTCTTGTCTTAAATATAAAGTAAGAATATCTCAATTAAAAAAAAAAAAAATCAACTTAAGAGGCAAGGTGCTCTTTGGATAGGAATTCAAATCAATCATTCCTTATTACCACACGGTAGGCCTACGAATTGGGTTTATACGGAATAATCTTAAAAGAGATCTTGTAATTGCTTTGCTTTATGTTACCAAAATATGTTAAAGAAAATTTGAGTCACATTCATTGTTTATATAAACCAGGCTTGTCGATCCTGATCGATTTTTATTGCAATATTGTTAAGTCAAGGTTTTAGAAAAGCTCTTATATATCAAAAAGACTTGTCTCGGATCATGACAACTCCACAACATCGTGAAAGAAAATGCATTGAATTGTTCATATATGGACAACATACTAGACCCGTGCTAGTGAAGGAATTCTTTCGATCCTTTGGCCATTGATTTTCCTAAAGTATTTTCCAAAGAAAAGTCACCACTAACAATTCCAACATCCAAATGAAAGTTCATTTCGATGAATCACTTGAAACTAGATTCTGACCTCACAATAAATCGTTGTAAAGTTTATTAAAAGGTTTTAATGGTAGTGGTGGCAAGATATCTATGAGGTGGCATCAAGAGTGGCAATACGTTGACTCCGGTCGGGTCTTTTTCCGTTAAAAACAGCACTTGTATCCTTCAATTGTCTAATTATATATCATAAATAATCCGGAAAACATACATATTTTTTGACGTTTTGGTATTTTTTTTTGTCGAAATTACTGGTAATGGAAGAAACGTGCACTCTCTTTCAAGTGTTGCTTTTTATCACATTCCTGATATGTGAGAAATAAATTATTCTTTAGTTTCTCGATTTTCAACTCAATTGTAAATCAATCTCTCAGTTTTCAAAAACCTACAATCATGTCCTCTATTTTAATTTTTCATTTATAACTTAGTCCTTTTTTTTAGCAAAGTATTCTCCTTTAAAAAAATTTTCATTCAAAATTTTTTAGAGTAGTAAATAATTTTGGTTTTATAAACATTAAATATCTACAAAATTATAAAAAATAATTGGAATAATCCTAAAATTTTTTGGGGGCCCTAGAAAAAAACATATGTGGTTATTTTTAGTATGGTTGTCAAAATATTTGAATAATTGAATGCGTAACACTTAACTAAATCTTAAAATACATTAATTTTGATAACCCCATGTGCAAATATTTTGAGTCATACTAAAAAAAAAAAGCAAATAGATGTATATGATTTTTTTGAGGTCCTCAAAAAATTTGGAACCATTACAAATCATTTTTTAATTTTTAAAATTTTAGTGTTTAAGAAAAATTAAAAAATACTTTCTAATCACAAGTAATTTTGAAATCATTTTTGAAAGTAGATTGGATTTTTTATTACCATACGTGAGAACTTTCAACTCAAAAAAAATAAAAAAGTGATTTTTTTTCTAAAGGAGTTTTTAATTAATGATAACGGAGTGTGCACTTCCTAAATGGACTAAATTATAAATGAATAATTTAAGTAGAATTCATAATTATAGTTTTTTTTTTAAATAAGGGACTAAATTACAATTGAATTGAAAAATAAGGGATGAAAGAATAATTTATATCGGTTCAAAGGTTACACTATTTAGGAAAGAAAATTGCATCATCAACAAGTTGGAAGAACATGGAAGATCCTGTGCTGCCTCATCTTGTGTGAACCAAAGTCCAAAGATAACTAAAGTGCATGTCCATTAAAAATCTGGTTGGTTTCTACCAAACAAAGTCTACCTAAGAGACATGTGTAATAATGAAATTAAGTGTGTATATATATATATATATATATATATGCAATTATGTTTCTCAAGTTTGTCATAATCAGGGTGAAACTAGAAATTTTTTAGTGGGGGTTATCATGACAAAAAATACAAGATCAAACTTGAAAATAAGTCAAATTAATTAAAGAAAGTCTAGAAAGCAAATAATATTTTTATAAGAGCTAAATGCATCACTATCGTGAAAATTAAAAATTTAAGGACCAAATTTAAAATTGTAGCGTATAAAATTCCTCCCCTTTATAACACACATATAAATGGGGATGGGTATAATTTCTGATAGGCAATAATAGCTCGGAGTTATTTTTCCAGAAAAGAAAGAAAGTATGATTGTGGTTGGAATTTGGAAAGATAAAGGAATAGCAACAGATAGTGCAAAATTGCCAGGAAAGCACAATAACCTTATATGTATATATATATATATTGTGAATTACCAGACAAGCACACACATAAATATCCCATGTGTGGTGTGATCTGTAACATATATATCCCATGTGTGGTGTGATCTGTAACATATCCCCCATTAATTTGTATTTTTTAGGAGATTATATAAAACTATTTTTCTAGCTGGTCAGATTTTAAATTGATATTTTATTTAATATGTTATCATAATTTTAATGGTCAAATTAAAATTTCAACATAATTTAAGATAATAATATGAGTTTGTATAAATTTCAAATTCAAAAGATTTTCATATAATTAAAAATACGTGTTAGATAATTAATACGAAGATATTATTGAAATTTCTTTCATCAATACACATTTAAATAAATTCCAATATATTTATGTTAGATAATTAATACAAAGATATTATAAGAAATAATTATGGTTTGACTTTGACATAAACATATTTCGAGTACAACATTATCATAAATATTCGTTGCGTGTGCCAAAGACAATAGTGTATATTCTTTAACCATATTTAAAAAAAACATAATCGGAGTATTGACCATCTCATTAGTATTGGTTTGTCGAATGTTACTTTTTTTTAATTTAAAATCTTTCTACATCGGATATTGGAGACATTCTGTCTAGTTATATTACTGATGTTTATTTTTTAAGACTTTATCTGTCTTCATTATCTGCATAAAAAAAGAAAAAAGTAAGAAAGAAACAAGTTTCGATTGTTTGTGTCACTTCGTTGGATATGTGAGTATAAAATGGATTACTATTATACACTTCATTGAAAACAATTATTTTTTTTAATTATTATATATATAATTTGATGGTCGAAACTTATAGTATTTCAATATTATTATATTACGTTAGGTCAATCGGATGTAATAAAAGATTGCATCTATAATCCAAATTTATATGATATTTCTGTGAGTGAAGTTAATAATCAAGCGTAAACATATCAAAAAAAAAAAAAAAAAAAAAAAACCGATAATAAAATTAAACTTATGAAGTTAAATGAATTTTTTTCTTTACACTCAAGAACCATTGGGAGCCAATGCTTTATACAAAAACTATCCTACTCAACATTTCTTTTTCAGGATGAGCACACTGCATGCACGCCAGAGTCCCCTTAAACAAGGACCGATTGAACAAAAACACCAATAATAATTTGGATTCTATAAAATTTAAAGCCAAAAAATAAAAATAAAATTTTTTTTAACCACTAAGTCAATCCCTTAAAATCAGTACTCCTCATATAAAGCTAATTACAAGATTTTTATATATAACTCTTCTTTTTCTCATTTAATGCATGAACATAACAATTGTTATAACTTTAATGATTAATAATGCGATTCATCAATAAGAGGTTAAACATGATTGAACAAGAATATTGCAGGCATTAACATAGCACAAACTAATTTCCTGGAGTTTTTTTTCTAGAAAAATGTTAATTCTAGAAAATTGAAATATTAATTCTCCACGGTAAACGCTAAATTATTTCCACAATAATTACTTACGGTGGTAGTTTTTGAAAGCATACAGATTGGAATTTAATTGCACTAAGAATAATTCATCATTTCTAGCTATAAGAACTTAAATAAATATAACTCTTCTTTTTCATTCAATAAAGGTAAAAGGACAGTTAGTCATTGAAAGCTAAGACGGTCAAATCAATGATTCTTACACGCATTAACATTACACAAAACGAGATTAATAATCATAACATAAAAAAATTAACCAATACACAGAATACCAATAATTATTATAAAGACATCTTGCGTAGTGGAAGGTATATGAATAGAAAAATTCGCTATAGAAAAACGAAAGATATAACTAGAAACCTATTTTTGGCGTTCACTTGATAATTAAATTAAACTCTTGGCGAGGCAATTTGTTTTGTTGTTAATTAGAAAGTAGAAAAAGAAATCAAGTACTTAGAATCTTCCACTACAAAATTCCAGGAAATAGCAACGGATTATTCTGTCGTTATTTCCTAGAAAGCCATTACTAAATGATTTTAGAGACGAATAGAAACAAAATTCAATCCATCGCTAAAGTAGTCGTGTTATTTTTTTAGCGATAATTTTTTTTCGTCACTATTTTATTAATATTTCGTTACTAAATGATTCTAAATAAGACATCCCTAACGTCTTATATCCATCCCTAAATGTCACTATTTTTAATTATTTTTTTCCTTAAATAACGACGGATTGTGCGATTGCTATTTTTTAGTTGCTAATATCCTCACAATTCCTTCACTATTTAGCAACCGAGTATCATTTGTAAAGAATAATAATACTCTTGAGACTTTATCATGTTCATTTAATAAAACATAAGAATAAATAAATATAATAAATGAGATACTTCATAATAATAATAATAATAATAATAATAATAACAATATGATAAATGTATGCTAGGACAATCAAATTATGATTGGCTCCTAGGGCATACACTAACACAATTAACAAAATTCAATAATTCAATAAATTAATTTAAATATTAAACAAAAAAATTAACAAATATTTAACAAAAAAATCAATAAACTAACAATTAAATATACACAATTATAAATCAAGAAATTATACTTAAAATTAAGATAATAATTACAACAAAATACCGACATTAATTAAGAAAGTAAAAAGATTAAAAACTAAACTAATTTGCGTGAAACTGGCTGAAATGAAGGAAGAAAACACTAAGTTTTTTTTGGGAGAAATGAGTTTGAAGAGGGACTAGATTGATGAAGAGTGGATTAGGGGAGTTTTATAGAGGATTAAAGGGGTTTGGCGAGAGGCAGCACCCTTAGGGAGAATGAGGGAGGAGGAGAAATGGGGAAAAATAAAGGGGGGGGGGAGTTGGGTTTGTTAGATTTAAATAAACTCGGATCAACGAGGGAACGAACCAGTTGTTGATCCATTGTTAAATAGCTACATTTGGCACGATTTTGAATTTTCAAAAGTCGCCCAAATTTTCAAAATTTAACGATGGATTTTCCATTGCTAAATGCCAAAAAAATTTTGGCGATGGAATTAATAATTCCATCGATATTTTTCTATAGCTAATCCATCTCTAATTTATCGTTGAAAGTCTCGAGTAGTTTTGGGTGCCATATTTAGTGACGAAAATTGATTCATCACTAATTAGTCGTAAATTTATCTCTATTCCATTACTAAATGTAACAAAAGCTAATTTGAAGCTATTTAGTGACGGTTTAAAATCTATCGCTATTTAACGAATTTCTTGTAGCGTTCTTTTTTTTTTTTTCTTCTTCTTCTTCTTCTTTTCTTTTTGGGTCGCTTGAGAGGGCATTTGACATATTGAATTTTCAGTTGAGTTTGCTAGATCTATTTCAAGTACTTAAATTTTATGGTAATTATATATTCTCGTACTTAAATATTGTTTTACTTAACTTTATGTTTTTATCCAATTGAGATTTCTTCTTTGTAGACTTTGTGGGGGACTTTTAAAACTAAACATTGAAATTCAATTCAATTTTTAATTTTGAAAGCTTGGGGGTCGAGGTTAATTAAAATAGAATGAGGGAGCTAGACAAAAGACAAGAAAAATTTTAAGGGGGTCATTAATTTATCGTACTTCTCAACATTAAACATCAAATTGAGAGAAATTTTGAATTTTTAAAAGTTTTAGAGGTTCATTTGAAAAATCACCTTAAAATATAATGGAGATTAAAATCTGAAATTAAAACTTAGAGAAAGAGGCTACTTTTTTTTTTTTTTTTCATCCTCTAGGGTATTTGAGATTCAAAAATATAAATTAATCTTTTATTGTTCCGTTGGACATGCAATACGTAAACAACTATTCGAAATTTTTTTATAGATATAAAAAGTCAAACTCAAAACTATTTAGTTAAATGACTGAATTGTTCCTTCCACTCAATTCAATCCTCATGCAAATGGCCGAAGGTAACATTGTATATAGGCCGCTACTATTTGCACATAAATAAGTCAATTAGCAGAACTTTTTTGAAACAAAATGTCAAACTTGTTCTTTTAACTTAATAAAAATTACAAAAAAAAATAAAAATGGTGAATATATATAAGCTATTAAAAAATCGTTTTATTTAATTATGACAATTTATATAAAAATAGTACCAATAGGGTGCAATTTTTTGGTGTTATGCATAGCACCAAAAAACTTATGGGTGCCATTTTGAGTGTTTACGATTTGATGCGGGACTTCTCTTGCAACATGTTAAAATGACTAGTATTGGTTTGAACAAGTTGGACAGAGAAAGGTGGACTAAACATGCTACGGTTGCTGTTCCACAATAATTCAAATGCCACATCTTTGTAAGAGACCATTCATCAACATGCATGGTAGTAAACACCACTTCTAACACATACTATATATATTAACATAGCAAAAACTAGGTATTAATAATAGCTATGAAATAAATTCTTACTAACCGATATGCCAACAATAGGACGGTACCAAAGACTCCATGACACCACCATGTGGTCCATAGTTATTATCGACGCAGTTTCAAATAACATTAACCAAAAAAGTGGTTGCAATACAAACATGCTCTTCATAGCTAGATAATAAATGATTCTTGTCCGCATTCCTTATCCCCAGATCATGTTTTCTTCTCTTTGCATAAATGTTAACAAACGTTACAATTCCTCTCTGTGTACCTGCTATCTAAGCAGGTAAAGCAGCATTAACTTTCTTACTTGTATTAAAAACAGTAGTACTAACACTCCATTCAATTTTGCACTAGCATGCACCTGGACCTGGCCAGTGGCCTCCCACATCTTTTATACATCCATTTGCCACACCTCATATTATCCAAATCAAACATATATATATATCTTGATAGAAAATGAATGGCCCAGATTGAATCACAGAAAAAAAAGGCCAATTAAGATATGGGTTTTCTTGTGTTGGGGGGTCAGACACTAAAAAAAATTAAAGTGGAATTAAGATAGTTTTGCAAAGCAATGGTGTATCAAGGAGGACTCAAAGCCCCAGTCTAGGGTCCCAATCATTTCAAAAGCTGACCTTTGAACCGACAACCAGACTCTACCCCTCCAATCACTTAAACAGAAAACCTGCCGGTTATTCTCCTACACCCAATTCCTCAAATCAGCCTGCCACGTGTCACAAATCAGATGGGTCAGAGCTTTTGACTTGACGACCACAGTCAAAAACCCTAGCCCAAGAAAAACCATTAAAACAAAACAAAACCGACCTTTCAATTTTTTCTTTTTCTTCTTCGCTAGTATTTATTTGACCTTCATAGCTCACACTTTTCCTCCTCCCCCATTTCACATTCTGCTTTGTCTCCATTTTGTTTTATATTTTTTTTTCTTCCTCCTCCTTTTCTTACTTTTAACTTTTTCTCTCCTACGAAATCAACTTTTTAATTTCGTTCTTCTCCTTAATTTCTTGTGTGCTTGCTATCATGGCTGTTTCACCCTCAAGTCCTTCTAGCTTGGATTTGACCATATCTATGCCTGGCTTCTCTTCTTCTCCTTCTTTTCCTCCATCCGGTAAGCCCCAAATCCCCTCTCGATCGCCTTCTTCGCTTTTGTTTTTATATGATATTCTATCTCATAGCTTTGTTTTTGTTGCATGGCTGGTTTTCTTAATAAATAAATAATTTTCTTTTTTAATATATATGATGATAAATATACGGTTTTGTTGATATTCAACAACTGATTAATTTGATGACAGGAAATTTATTTTCTTGATTGATGAAAATGATCATGACGGATAGTTAATCGGTGTAAGGGGTTTGTGCAGTGAAAGATTTGGACATAAACCAATTACCATCAGGAACAGCAGAAGAAGAATGGATCACTGCAGGCATGGAAGATGAAGAGGAAAGCACAAACGGAGGCCCACCTCGCAAAAAACTCCGTCTCTCAAAAGAACAGTCTCGCCTTCTCGAAGAAAGTTTCAGGCAACACCACACCTTAAACCCTGTAACAAAACCACCCCCTTCTCTCTCTCTCTCTTTCTAGTAAAATAGTTTTGTTTTTTTATTTAATTACGATTAATTTATGGAGTTCAATTAATTTTTGATAAATGCAGAGACAGAAAGAAGCATTAGCTTTGCAGTTGAAGCTGAGGCCTAGACAAGTGGAGGTGTGGTTTCAAAACCGTAGGGCCAGGTATATAATTCTATTTCATGCTTGGGTGACACATTAAATTCTCTTTTGATCCTTTCACTATATATTTTGTTGGTTGTTAGGATTAAAATTGACGATTATAAAGTAGATACAGATATATTTATATATCAAAGTTGACAGAATATTATCTGAATCCGATTCTATACCTATCCGTATAAAATCGTACTCATCTATCATCATCATCATAAATAAGAAAAAGATCTTTTAAGTATTGGGTTTTTCTTAGGACATTATATGGTATGTAGAGTACAATATAACGCCTTGGGACTATGTTGGTTTGGTTAGTAGTATAAATTAAGATGCTTTAATTCTTTGGTCATTTTCGTGGCTAAAGCAAAGACATTCGGCACCATAAATCATCGAACTTTTTGACCGCATTTAAAACCTGTTTGGGGCGGTTAATGTGTCCTTTTCATAATTATTTTATATAATAAAAGAAGTTAGAACGTAATTTCTGTGCCCTTGAAATGACGAATCGTTCGCATGCCGATAAACTAAGGCAGAAGTTGACATGACGCTGTACAGTAATATATGCTTGTTATGAATTGTTTTGTTGAGTCATGATTTTGAGACTTGTTAAGTGATGAAATATAATTATTTGTGATTTGTTGGTTAGTCAAATCTATAGCGGGGATTTAGTTAAGAATATGGTTATATATTAAAAACTTATATTTATAATAAAATATTTATGATTAGATTTGGACGCTGCAATCGAATCCATATGGTCAAAAATGGATGCAGCTGATCATGTAATAATTAAGTAAGAAAATATGCTTAATTCCTCCCAAGCTGAAAAGGGGCTAATACCAATTGTGAACATAAGATGATAAGCCTTACTGCTTGCTTGTCAAGTTCTGAAGGTAGTGACATCAACATGTCATCTGAAATAGGAAGTTGGCTTAGGTGTTTTAGTTTCTTGCCATAGAACCCTAAGAAATTGCAAATAAATAAACTTAATTTAATATTGCTACTACTGTATGGTTTGAGACTGAAGAGACGTGACCGACAAGTGGCTCGACAAGTTTATGAACATTTAATGATGAGGCTATTTCACGAGCTCACCTTTGTGAACTCATACAATGATGCTTGTCCAAATATGTAACAGATTAGCAATCTAATGATCATTGCACAAAATTGAGATTAAAAAGATTTGTCGGCATCAAGAACATGCATGTGTTTTTTGGCCTCGTGTGCTAGTCTGATCATACCTCAATAAGTGATACTTTGACTCATTATTCATAATTCTTTCCGTGGACTAGCCATGCAATTCTAAATATACTACTATTAGTATTGTTGTTGATAATATATTTATTATTATTATCATCATCATTTGCATGTATTATCGAACGAAATCAAGAGAGGCTAAGGATTTGCTCTTCCTTGTCATTCAATTCTATTTAATTGGTCAAAAGAAACGGAGTCATTCCATAATTAGTCTCTTAAAGTTATGCATAGTTATGCCAGAACAGATGAAAACTTAAAACTTACAATACTTTATGAGATAGTTTGATAAAAACTGGAATTGAACAATTATGAATATGACAACAACAGGCATTGAATACAACAATAAATGCCTTGCTTGTGTATATGGTTTGCGAAAAAAGATTCTCAAAAGTGCACTTGTTATATTCAGAAAGCATTAAGGAACACCCCAGAGAAGAGGGGGGGAAGCAGGCGATGGATTTAATGCAAGCTCTTAATTATGCCTACCACCTTTCCTTCGTTGGCAATCATTTGTTGGAAAAGAAAAGTTGCACACATGTATGATTGTTTGAATTACTTTACATATATACAACTCAAATCCAACTTATGATCATATATAAACCAAAATGGAGTACTGGCAGACATTTTATCACATTGTTTTATCATAATGTCACACATTATTTAGTACCAATCTTCCAGTATTTACACATTTTTCTGGTCTCTTATAGGAGCAAGCTTAAGCAGACAGAGATGGAGTGCGAGTACTTGAAGAGATGGTTTGGTTCATTGACAGAGCAAAACAGGAGGCTGCAAAGAGAAGTGGAGGAGCTTAGGGCATTAAAGGTGGGTCCACCAACCGTGATGTCTCCTCACAGTTGTGAACCTCTCCCAGCATCTACACTTACCATGTGCCCGCGTTGTGAGCGAGTGTCAACCTCCTGCTTGGAGAAGGGCTCCACCAAAACCACCACCACTGCTGTGGCCAACCCAACAACAGCCGCCACCTTGTCCTCTAAAGTTGGGACACCTGCACTCCATACTCGGCAATCTTCTGCGGCTTGTTAGTCAGCTGTAATGATCATTAATTGCTTTGATATGAACGAAGATAGGTTAGAGAAATGTTCATACTAGTTTACACCAAAATGTTTATGAGATAGATACTATAGTATATGGTATCTAATCTACTTGGATAATTAATTTACTCGTTAATTAGCACTTTTTTTAATGCTTTTTTATTTGACTGTTTCGATTTTTATTTTTATTTTTTTGAAGTATGGAAAGGGTGTGTAGATCGGATTAGTTTGAATTTGGAGTCCCTCTAATTTCTCTTCATCCAAATTTCATGGTAATTACCATATACGTGTTAATTGGCTTGCCGTGCGTACGAATATTTATTGAGGAGAGACGAAACTTCATGAAGTGTTACAAGAAGTACCCGTGAAAAATACTTGTGGAAAAAGCTTTCTGATCAAAGCACAATATTTAATTTCTATTCAATTTCCTCAACGTCGTAATCTTAAGGTGGTAGAAAAAAACGTCAAAACAACATTGATTGTGTAAATGTTAACTTCATACACAATTTCAGCGTGATAATTAGTTAGTTGCTGGGACATTCTTCGTAGAAATAAAATTTAATGTTTTTTTAGTAAGTAAAATGAGTGCAAATAAATTGATCATGCACCTTAAAAGATCGAATACTGACTGTATCATTTCATAAATATCCACCCAGATTTAGATTTATAGGCACTCGCATAATTACATATCGCAAAATAAAAGTTTAGAATACCTTCATGAATAAAGTTACTTGAATATAAATGTATAATTTCATCAAGTTAATAACAAATTCGAACCCAATACCAATAAATTTAAAAGAATCTTGTAGTTACTGTCTGAACAAAACCTCTCAAGAGCAAATTTCATATCTTAACAATCTAATTAAACATAGGCAATATGCTTGTTAGAGAATAATATAAATCATATCTTAGGGCTTTATCCAACGAGTTTAAGTTTTTGGGTGAGATAGTCCCATGATATGATATCGAAGCTTTAATGACCAAACGGTCGCGAGTTCGAATCTTACCTCTCCACTTTCTCTTCTAGTTAATTAAGCACAATGTAGTTTAAGCTTTTGAGTGAGATGGTCTCATAACATATGTTATAACCCTTGTAAAAAGAGGCATTTCTAAAAAGTTAATAAAAAATGTTAAATAACTCTAAAAATCTTTAAAAGATTTTGGAGTACGTAAAAGCATCTAGGTTTGTCAAAAAAAAAAAAAATTCTGAATATATCCAACATAATTTACAAGAATCTCTTATTATTGTAATATGTACATATTTATATAGTTTTTTTTTTATAAATATCTAAATAGAAGAATTTTAAATAATCAATTATAGTTATATATTAAATTAGACTGATCTTAATCATTTATTGAAGAGAAGGGATGGAAGACTATAAACAAATGAGATTTTTAACTGACTAAATCATTCAAAAAAATATATAATATAGAGCTGTAAGTATTTGATAGCAATATAAATATATATTTTTTAAAATATATATATATTTTTTTGTGCATCGTTTTTTGCAATTTAGTAAAAAAGAAAAAAAAACTGAATTGGCTCGATTTTGGTTTTATTTAAAAAAAGGTTTCGGTAATGATGATGAATGTGAGTAGAAATGATGGTCAGGCAAGTCCTTTGGTATCACATGCTAGGAGCACGTGGTTTATATTTTGAGAGGGGTAGCTTTGGCATTGCATGCAAAATGCAATGGTAAATTAAGAAATGTATCCCGTATTTGCAAATAATAAAATAATACTAAATTTATGAATGTACGCGTTGTTTTAGGGCACAGCGCGTGGAATCCATATATGCAGCCGAGAAAAAACACACAGAAAAATCAAGCCCGTCAAGGTAATGCTTCGTGGTTGATTTTTTTTTTTTTTTGGCTTCGTGATTGATTGGCCCGTTGGAGGAAAAAGGAAAATGAAATTGCTCATGTTTTAAGCAAGTTTGTCATGGCAAAATTAAGGTTAATTTTGCAGGACTACTTTCTATGATTTTCAACATGTTCCAATCCCACCGACCATTAACGGACTAACAAAAACTAATTGTTGTTTTACTCTTACTAACTGATGAATTAAAAATAAACAAAACAAAACAAAAACAGTCTAGAAATTAGAAAAGATTCCCGCTTCTTCTTCATTTTTCTTGCAATTTTATCTAAATAACTCTTGCCAGAAACAAAAAGTTCGGTCAAAATTTGCGTTCTTCTCTTTGATTGATGTGCTTTCTGTATTTTCACTGCTAGTTACAGATGTTCCCCTCCTCAACTAACATTTTGACGTTGATATTATGCCCTTTTCAATGATGAGAAATTTTATTTTACTTAAAAAATAATTAATAATATTATTATATAAATTTATTTTTTAAAAAATACAAAGAGATATAAAATTACATATGAATTCACAAAAAATAATAAAATATTTTCATTTTCATTGGGCTCGAATTTTTTTTACTTCTCTATTTTTTTTTCTTTTTATAATCTATCTCTCTCTTATAAAGTAAAATAATTTTTTCATTTTTTTTAAAATTGCAATCCATAGTCATTCATACTACGACATCAATGTGGGGCATGGGGCAGGGTACATTTAAAATTAGTCTTTATTAGTTTTTTTGTACGCGTTACGTTATAGGTTGGATAAAATATATAAAATCGTTTAAATAAATCATTTCGAGTTTGATAGTCTATTTTATTGTGTGAATCTATAAAAATATCTAAAATCAAAAGTAAAAAAATTATTTATAATTTTTTAATAAAAAATTTATATTTAACTATTTCTTATTTGTGATTTTCATAATTTTTTGTTAATCCATGGATTATTAACTAAAAAGAAAATTAAATAATTTTTTTTAAAAAAAAGCTTTAGTATTTCATAAGATTGTGTTGAAAAACATAAATAACAATTATTAAAAAGCTTACATAAAATTGAACAAATAATTTTTTTTTTTAGTATTGATGAGAATATCGGTTTTTGAAAAACTATGAATTTAATTTTTATATATTTATTTACAAAAGAATGAATAATATTAAAATAAAAAATATATTAATTTGAATCATTGAGTGGTTAAGCCAAATTATTAATTTAATTATTTAATTCAAAAATAAAAAAATAAATAGTAAATGCTTAGTGTTGAAAAATAATATTATTATAATATGATCATAATATTAATAACATATGACTATATTAAAAAACATGAGAAATTAAAGAAGTAAATTTTAAATAATTAAAATAATTAAAAGAAAACACTAAAATAAAATGGAACCAAATCACAATACAATTAAAGTTTGAAATTAAAAAAAAAATTGAGGATCAAAATGTTAAAAAAAATTACATGAATAATGAAAGAAATAATGATTTGTGAATGTATGAACAATGTTTCAAATAGTGAAAATGAATAGTAAATCGTGTTTTACTTTAGTTTTATGTATAATATAATTTTAATTTATTTCTCATTTTATTTTTTTATTTATTAATCGGAGGTCTATGATTTTTTGGATTATACAATGGAGAATAAGTCTTTTCAATTACATAATCATTAAATAAATTTTAAAATCATTAGAATTCAAATTTTATTTCACTAAAAAAACTAATTGAATATACAACTATTAAGCTAAACCTGCTTATACACAGATACACAAATTAAGATCATAATAGTCATAAATGATCATAAAGATTTGATGTCTTGTCTAATTACTTAGTTTATGTTTTGAGGTAAGCAATTTCAAGAAGAAATTGTTCATAAACCTAGCCTATCTGTAGGATATGCGTTTAAAATTATCTATTAAAAAAAAAAAAAACTTATTCAGTACTGATACGCAAGCTTCTCTGATAATACTTCCAACTTGTTGAAAAAAAAAAAAAAAAAAAAAAAAAAAAAAACAAGATCACACTGAACATTTTAATAATGAAAATAATGATATATTTTTTTTCCTTTATCGTAAAGGAAACTTCCACTTGAAAGTTGAAAGTCTTTTAGATAAATTGACAAAATAGCACTAGTAAATGAGAGTCAATGGGAGAACTAATTCGATCAGCGTTAGCTTGAAAGAAATATAATAAAGCATAAAATTTTCATCCCCTGTCAACATGCAGCAGGGATTGAATGATGTGGGCCCAATACCAAGAACCAACATCCTTACATAAATTTCTAGTCCATTTATGAGCTACCCGTTGCTTTCTCACTAAATCTGGTTCGACGTGCAAAAATCAGGTCTTAGCCCAAGATCGAAGGCCCATGAAATTTTCTCATCATAACTCTTTCACCAATCTGCAGGCCCTGTTGCATCTTCAGGTAAATTAAGGTTAGCCCATGCCGATTCCTATTTCAAAACTCAAATCAGAGATGCAGACACAGATGAAATCTAGCGGTGTGTGCTATGGTTTTACCCTATATCAAAGAGACATGCAGTCCAAGAAACATGCATATTTAACTAAAAGATTCAATTAACCTCCTGATCTGAACATTCCTGCGAATCATGAGCTGGTGATGATGAGAAGGAAATAAAAGCCAAAGTTTTGAGGGGAAATATATATAGATATATAAACATGGACCAGACAATTCATTATGGAACTCGTTTTAAGGCAACAACCAAGAAACTATAAGTTTCTCGTTCTTTCACATAAGCCCAAAGGGACACTCTTCGATCCTGTCTGAGACAAGAGCCTTTCTATACAACTAATGTTAATTCTGTAGGACATACCCTAAATCCAACTTCACCTTCGTAGCATAGCCAGGCATATTTCTTTTATACAAAAAAGATTTGCTCTGATTATTACATGATCCGCCCCACCAAAACTTGGAGATATAGTGCTTCTAAACGAATAATTAACTGATTTAGGCACACTAATGTGGTCATAGTTTCTTGCTTCTCGTTTTTGAATAGTTCCATGGTTAATTTATGTAGCAAGGGATTGAAAATTTGATAATGATGGGATTTGCAACAGGTAAATCACAAAATTATAAATCCTCTGAAATTCAGAGGAACCAGATGAGTCGCTATCTTA